AGCACTTAAAATTTTATAAATATGCGCTATAATATTACCTTAAAAATCGCTAAATAAGCTCTAAAAGTATGCAATAAAAACAACAAAAAAAGAAGGAAATTTATTATTTAATAATTTTATACGAGCACACAAGACGAATGTGGACTGTATAAAGCGAATTCTACACTCGTTCGTTGATAATCGGCTATTAGTAGATTTAGTATCAAAAAAAAAAAAAACCAACAAAAAATCAGCATATAATAAAAATTAGAACCAAATAACTAAAACAAAATTATTGTATTACATTATACCTATCTATATATTATCGCTGTAATTGTACAGAGTTGCATCAGTGTAATCGGTCTATTTACTTAAACCATATATTTATAATATAATTTAAAATTAAAATTTTAAATCTTGAAAATTCAATTAACAAAAATCAAAAAAAATGTTTACCAAAATATAATTTCATAAAATATGCCCGATTTTGATTAAAACAGGTAAAGGGCTAAAAAGTCTCAAAAAATCCGAAAAAGCACTATAAACTAAAAAACGCAAAATATGCAAAAAAAGCAAAATAAAATATTTTATTTGAGTTCTCTCTATTATGAAACGCATTTTTAGCTTACTCTGCTATTTTATAAGCATCTCATAAGAAATATGCTAATGCTACAAAATCCCAACCCTGGTAATCACTAATCAGCCTTAATCGTGGTCATAATTCATAACCATAACGACAGTGTAGTAAGTTGTTGAAAATCCGTGATAATATTATCATTAATTATTAAAAATATATTTAATAATATATTTTGTTCATTATTATTAAAATAAATATATAATAATATAAATAATACATTTATAATATTTGGAAAGACAATGAGGGGATTTAAACACCTACACCCCGTCTACGCCATTGCCTTTTCTATGTCCGTTGAAATAAGACTCTGCGAGTCGGAATGTGAATAATGCTGTCCGTCGTCCACGACGTCGTTTAGTTTCTATTTTAATTTTTTTTTTGTGTTAAGTTAAAAAAAATTAGTTATCTTTGATGTTCTTTTATTTTGTTGCATATTTATTTTTTTATTTATAAATTCGGTTGTCAATTTATACAAATATTAATATATATACACAAGTAGATATAATAAATAATGCATTGACAAGTAAAATAATGCGTTATTAAAAACTACACGACTAGACTAGGATCACACTATGCGTTGCATCCCCTATCAGTAATTAACTAATTAAACAGCAACTGAGCAACGTATGCGGTATTAACGTATTGTCCGAACGGTTCTAGAGAAACGGTCTAGTCTAGATACGATAATGCTTTATCGATTTTCCCTTTTGCTTTTTATATTTTACTCGGTATCGCTAAACAATTTGTAATTGCAATTTACTATTTTTATTTTGGTTTTCGTATCAAATCATTATTTAATTATACATTATATAATATAATACAAGTATTGAGTAATATTGTGTTATACTATGATGTGTATTACACGGACCAAGGGGGGGGGCCCTATGGGCACCCCCTAAGTACGCCACATATTATTATGCATTTAACAGAACTTTCTGAACATCTACGTTTATATTGATGTATTATTCACATGGTATTTATAGGGACGGATCCATAGTTAGAGAACTTATATTTATAGAAAAATTATGATTATTCAGCAAAAGCAATATTATCACATTTTTGAAAATATAAAAAAGATAGGTTTTATTTATAAAACTTAATATAATCTAAATAAGAAAACAAATTTTTATATTAAAAATAAATATTTATTATTTTATTATACAAAACTTAACATTCATTTCTTTAACACAGTTAATAGGCATTTTATTTTAATTGTTTTTAATTAATCACTAAAGAAATCTAATAAGCTTATCAGTTTAAACAAACACATATTTTACATACTTCATTAGTTTAATTAAAATAAAGAATTCAATAACCACATTTCCTAGTAATTGTTATAGTTAATATACTCATTACATCATCAGTTTACACTTATCTTATGAAACTTCAGTGCACATTTGTTTACAATTCAGTTCTTTATCTGAAAACAAACATAATTATTAAATATAAAATATGAATAATTTTAATAATTTATATTTTTCATTGAAATTAATAAATAAATGAAAATAATACAATTAAATGGTCAGCAGTAATAACGTGCTATGCAGCAGTTTGTATTTGTACTTTTAGAATAATAAATAAAAACAAAAAATGTACCTATTATAATTTCTTATAAATATAATTTTAATGCATGCTCTTATCGTTTTTACAAAATTATATCATATTTATATTTATGAAATCGAGTAACTTTTATAAAATATTTTTACGTTATTTCACAAAAAAAATTTAATCCAAAAAAATGTTACTTAGCATGTTATTCTTGTCAACCCTTCAATTATTTAATGTAATAAATAAGATGGATATTAAATATACCTTTCTGTTTATGACAAGAATAGTTTTTCTTAGTTTTTATTAATATTCTATGGCCAGCACAGTCGGCAATTTCTAAATAACATTTATTTCGGCAACATTTTTTACAAAGTTTGTACTCACATTTTAATCCCTTGATAATACAAAAATATAAATTATCATAAATCAAATAAATAAAATGAGTAAATATTATTTAATACATTTTAAGAAAATCAATAAAATAATAAATACAATTAATAGTTTTTACCTTTGGATTTCGACATTCCGAACATAACTCTTCAAGAATTCGTTTGCATCTAATTTCTTTATTTTTCAATTTATTCAATTGCTTTAATTTTTTTTTTGATAGTTTCAAAGGGTCAGTACAATCTTCATCATCAATACTTCTTTTTAAGTTCTATTGGAATTTTAAAATGTGAGAATCTAGTAATATATTTTATTTGACATGTGTCTTACTTCTTTTTCATCGGTTTTTAACTTATTTACTTCTTTATGAGTTTCAATTCCATCTAAATTATTTACAGGTAATACACGAACATAACTCTGACATAACCAAGGTGGTAAAATTAAGTTATAATCTGAAATAACACAAAATTCAATAGTATAATTGATATATCCGTTTTAAAATGGTATATGTTTTACCATTTTGAATGTTGTCCCATGGTTTTTGACCCAAATGATACGGTAAATATTTTAATTTTAATTGCATAATGGCATTTCTAAAATCATTACGGTTTTGACCTTTTGCCAATATCTCTCTAATTAATTCATTCTCAGGTAGACAAAATCTAGATTTATAAAATAAAATAAATAAAGATTCAAATTAAAAAAATTTAAACTCATTTTATTTACATACAAATGGTAACAAAGTTTAAATAGATGACCTCTAGTATTTGAAAGTGGACAAGGATATTGTTCGCTAAGATCTAAATACTCAAGTGCTGGTTCCCAAACAGGAGGTGATTGATTATCAAAAATATATGGATTATGAAGGTGTCCTTCAGCAGACATTACTCCTTCACACAATGTTTCCTTTAAACATCTTTGAACATCTTGATATACTTGTATGTTACCATTGGCAAGGACTGGAATTGTTACATTTTCTCTGAAATAAAGAATTCAAAATAAAATTAATTTGTTCAAGAAATTTTGTATAATTAACTAATTGTACTTGATTTATAGTTTAAAATATTATGATACTTAATTTGAAATAAGTATAAAGAAATAAAACTACAAACTATCAATAGTCATACTTGGTTAATTTAAAGTCAAAGGGACTGGTAAAAAGTTTGAGTTATCCAAATAAATAAAATATAATATAAAAATATGTATTTTTATACTTAGTATATCTAATTACTATCTATAAATTCTATAAAAAAAGTTTTTATTTTTGTTTGGCATATTTTGTTGCTGATTGCTGAAAAAAGTCTAACATTGACATATTGTTGATTTTTACATTTGTTCATTAATATATATTTGTACTTATGCAAACATAGGAATGGGAGTTCAGTATATTCTTATTGCTATTTTCATCATAAGTGTGAAGATTTGTAATATATATAATGTTAAAACCATAATTATTAAACTAGATTTATAACAAATTAAGAAAAGTATTCAGTTATTTGAAAATATTGAATGATAATATTCAATTACCAAAAATTAATTTAGTTTAAAAACTTACCAATCATTATATTAATTAACAAATTATATCATTTTATATAATATTTTAAATATATAATATTTATAATGTGTATAAATATAATAAAATAAAATAAAAATATACACATATATATATTTATATTCATAGATTAGTTATATAAGGTAAATGTACTATAATAGTTTAGTATTATTAATTTATTCAAGAATATATGTATATTTTTTTTCATATAAATATTCTACAGTAAATAGCTTGAAACTTACTTAACATAAAATGTATTATAATTTATGAACTCATAGACCCTACATGAACATGTTTGGTGGGACCCATTATATTTTTTGCAGAAAAAAAATATACTTCAAATATTATTGCTTAGTTTTTAACTTACTTTACAGCTTTTATTTGACACCAATTAGCTAATCCTGTCATCCTCCCTTTTTGATCCCTAGTCCGACCATGAACTGATAACATCTGACAACCAGCTTCTTCTAACATTTTAGCATACAATATAGTTTTTGAAACATCTTCAAAAATACGTATTTTACAAGAAACTGGCACTTTAAGATTTTGTCGCAAAGTTTTAACTACAAAATTCATTATAATATTTAAAAATTATAACAATTATATTGTATTTAATTTAAATAATAAATTACTTATATTTATAGTACTAACCAATCTCAAATATAAGTTTCCATTCATCTTGAAGATAAGAACCATAAAATCCACGTTTAGCTATAGCTTGTGGACATCCTAAATTTAAATCTATAACATCACAACTATCTTCAACTAATTTTGCAGCTTCAAGCAATACTTTTGGATCATTGCCACAAAACTAATAAATTTATAAGATTAAATTAAATATTATTGTTATAAAAAATGTTTTGTTACTGAAACATACTTGAACAACTAAAGGTCGATCTTCGAGGCAGGTAGTAAAAAATTCTTTACGATATTTTCGATCTTGAACAAAATTTTGGCTGTGTAACATAGGAGCAAAACATAACTGAACACCGTGTTTACGAGATAACATTCGCCAAGCTAGTTCACTTTGTTCTACCATTGGGGCTAGGATGTATCTTGGTTTTCCAAGATTTTCCCATACATTTCCTGTAGATTCCATGATTTTAAATACCTAAATAATAAAATAATATCACAAAACAAATAAATAAATATATAAAAAATATATTTGTAAACATGATTATTATAAAGTTTATATTTTTAAATATGATTTATAAAATTTACATTATCATCAGTATTTCAGCAAGAAGAGTAATTGGGTACAGGCTTACATTATTTTGATTTACTAATTTTAATTGAAAATTTTATTTTTTAAATATTTCTTTGCATTTAATTAATTTTTAAAATAAAACTATTAGATGAGTTAGTAATCTACATGTAAGTAATATTTTGTGCTTATCATAGTTTCTGCATTTGTATATATCAACCAAATACTAATAAAAATAATTAGTTCAGTCAAATTATTAGTATTCAATACTACTGTTATAGCACTGAAACATGTACATGACAAGGCAGGGCATCAGTGGCGTATATAGGGTGGGGGTGCCTAGTGGGCTACAGCCCCCCAAAATGTTTTAAAAACCTTAAAATTTATTTTAAACGTATGTTATATGGAGCTTTATGCTTATTTAGAATTTGTGTCCAATGTCAAATCGTTTTGGGACGTTCTGTAAATGAAATGTAGATATGTACCAACTGTGTCTTGTTAGTAATTCTTAGATAGCAGTAGTAATTTAAATCTGTCCATAGTAGCCCCTCCCAAAAATATTCTCTATATACACCACTGCAGGACATAATATATATTATATCAAGCCTATAATTGAATTATATTTTAAATTTCTAATGGGGATGTTGCATAAAATTTTAATAATATTTAAATAACCATTAAGAGTATTTACAGAAAAAAAAATATTATATTTTTTGTTACTATCATAATTTAAACTAATGAAAATAATACTTTTGATGTAGTAGACCTTATGACCTTTGTCCCTTTAAACTTTAATCCCTATGCAAAACACTTAATTGCAGTATTTGAAGACAATAATTTTCAATAAATAAATAATAATACACACATATTATGATATCAATTTTATTATCTAAAAATAAATAAACACAATATTTGATAATATAATATTTAAACAAAATACTATATACACATACAATACCAAACTATAGTAAGTATAAATGATTTAGTGAAAACATAAAAAATTAAAAAAAACTACAAGGTAACTCAGTAAACTAAGTTAAAAAGAATTATGATTAGAAATGCGATAATTAGAAAATAGTTGTAATGATAATATTTTGATGAAAATTAAAGTATGGTTAAATCAGGTAATCAAGTATTATATACTAGGACAGATATAAAATACAGTTATATTTATAGACCTTAATACTATTTCTGGGATGAATATGTTATATTCATTTATATCGTTTATAGAAAGAAAAAATTAACCAAATTTCTTATCCAAGGTTTTTTATTATTAATCATTAAAGGGAACATTGGGAGGTAAAATTTGATACTAATAGTTAAATTATTAAAATTAAAATTAAGTATGGTCGAGAAGGTTATGGTCTAACCACCACAAATTTGCACCAATTGAATAATCATTTTTTATGACTTTATGGTGTTTTAAAAACATACAAATGACTATCTATTAGGTATTTTGGTTATTCGTAAATATTATATATATATATATATATATATATGTATATATAATACCATAATTTTATAAAATTATTAAATGCATAATGAATAGTCAATTTTAAAAATAAGTACTAAAAAGTTGAAAAATATAAAACAAAAATAATATTAGATTGACTTGGATAAAACTTATGTAATTAAATATAATAAAACACTAAAAATAATTAAGATGAAACCAAATTTAGTTTAAAATTATAATATATAGGTAATTTAGTGTATTAGAATTATTAGTTTATATATAAGTAAATATTATAATTTTAAACTTTAAATGGACTATTACATTTATCTTTACATACCAATAATGTAATGTTTATACTTTTAAATATTTCTTTTATATTCAATTTTCTATACATTATATCTACTTACTAATTATATTTCATTTAATAGTCATGGTAGGAGGACGTTTAAAAATATACAACTTATTATCTATATAGTTCACAGAGTATATTTTCCATTATAGTTTATAATCCAATTTTAAACCACGACGTTTTAAATAAATGGATCTCCGCAAAAAATTTCATACAAAAAATAGTTTTCTAAAAATATTAAAATTTAAAATGTATTTATAAAAATGAAAAAGTATTAAAATATTAATATTTCACAACAAACCATGACTTCAGTACATTGCATGATAACATATATTATAATATTGCGTGATCGTTAAAAATGTAAACAACTTCATTGATATAAATGGATTCTAATTATTGGTTGATATTCGAAAACGTCAATCACGAGTTACAACGAAAACATACTCACAAATAAATAAAAATATAGGTATAAAAACAAATCTTTGAAATCCCGAATTTTTTTTAACGATAACGGACCAGTGACGTTTCCATTTAATATGTTAGCATAGCATATTTACGATCGTACTATAATTATAACTCTTGTTACCTACACACACACACACACACACACACACAAACACATATATATATATATATATACATCCATTAGATTTGGATTTAAATTATATAATTGTAATACAGACAAAAAGGGCTAAGAAAATACAAGGGCGAATAAAAAATTTGAATAGGGTATGGTAGATAAAAATGAAAAAAAAAATAATATTGTTACTCGATGGTGGCGAGAACGGTAAGAAGAGAGTGAAGGTATGATGAATGTACATCGCACGGGAAACGAAAAGCAAAGAGAAGGAAAATCACGCGCTTTTCGAAGAGTTGTGCTGCGGGGAAGTCGACAGCCAACTGCACGGTCTGGTCTGGGGATAACGGTTCTTCAGCTGCGGCGTGGACGGGTTGGAAAGACCTGACTCGTGGATGGGCGACAGGTTGGAGGACGACTTGGAGTGTTTGATTTGCGGGTTGTTGTTGCCGACTTTGCGCCGCTGTTTCCTCAGCGGCTGCTGTTCGACGAACGCGAGCACTTGGCCCAATTCCTTGAGCGTGATCTTCTGCATCGGATGGTGGCCGGCAGATTGCGAGAGCGCCGGCAGCGCGGACAACGTGCTCGAGTTGAACGACTTCCACTCATTGACCATGGACAACTGATCGTTGGCGGGTATCACGCGGTTCCGACGCACTGCGAACGGCGACGGTGGTACCTTGACGTGGTGCACGGCCGCGGTGCGCTCGAACACCGGTTCGGGCTTCTGGAAGCAGCAGCAGAACCCTTTGCGCCGCTTGCCCAGCACGAAGAACCGGGCCCCGTTGCCCTGGATCCTGTCTTTTTCCAGACAATATCGGCATTTCGGCGGCACGTTCTGCACACGGTCGTCCGGTCTCGTCTCTAAATCTTTCACAAACAGACCGCCGCCGCGTCCGTACGACTCGACCGTTTCGACGGTCATGTCGTTGTTGGCGCCACCGGCTCCACCGCCGTCGTCCTGCTGCGCGTGACCTAGGTTCGAGTGGATGCCGCACGACGGCCGCTTTCGCCGGCCACCTGCAGCCGTAACGGTTCCGTAACAGCACGCGAACGCGTACAGCTTGGCCAGCTCGGACGACGGCTTGTTCCTGGACCGGTTGTTGGACAGCGACAACGTCGACGATGACGCGCCGTTCCTGGAATCGAACTCGGGGTACCGCCGGTAGTTCCTGATGTACTCGTACGTGGTGATGCCCAGCGCGGATATGTACACGTGGAACACGCACAGGTGCAGGAGCAGCACGAGAGCAACCAGCGCGAGCGCGCACTGCACCGAGGCGACCGCGACGAACACGTTCCGCTCGACCGGCAGACGGCTGACGCTGAACAGCTGGTTCATCTGCACCGTCTGGTTGGCGAATATCGGCCGCAGGTAGTGTTCGACGCGCAGCGGGTCCGCGTTGTACAGAACCAGCTCGGCGGACGACACCAGCACGATGACCAGACACGCGAGCACGGCCGACACAACGCTCACGATGAACGCCACGTAGTTACGCGCGCCGATGCAGTGGTTCAGCCACTTGCAGTGGTGGTCGAACTTCTCCACGCACTTATTGCACGAGCCGCAGTGCTTGGTCCGGTGCCCGGACGTGTAGATGTTGCACAGGTGACATTTACCGTTCTCGATGACGTGCGCGTGCTTGCTCTTGTCCAGCTCCGGCACGGTCTTCCGCGGGTCGTCGTCGCGCAGCGCCCGGAGCTGAGGGTCCGCGGGGTCGATGAGCAGCGCGGCGGCGTGCGACACCACGTGCAAAAAGAACAGGCTGCCCAGCACGAACAGCGCGACCGGGTAGAGCTCGGGCCCGAGGCCGGGCAACAGGACGCCGAACGTACAGGCGCCGAACGCGGCCAGCACCAGCCAACCGGCCACTTGCTGCGGGTGCCACGGCATCTGCAGCCCGTTGATGCGCCTCTGCTTCCGCCTGGTTTCGCTGCGGCACAGTGTCATGCTCCGTGCATCGCATGCAGTCCCGGTCTGTACGGCGGTGCCTTAGACCGCTGTGCATCCGCGACGTGTACAACAACAATTGTGTACGCGCGCACCGGTTTCGAAGAAGGTTTTTCTTTTTCTTTTCTCGTTTTACGTACACGAGTCACGCGGTTCTACACCTACCGCATCATAGGGGAACGGTAACCGTACGAACCGACGACAACCGCAACAACAAAAGACCCGAGACGAACGCATATCACGTCGGTGCGCGTCGGAGGGACGAATGGTACTGAGGGAGCCGATACGGACTCGGAGGGCGAAACGACCGAGGAACGTGCACGCTTACCGCCGGGCCAGCCCCCTTTGAACAACGTTCGCGGTGCCCATTCGAGTGCACCGCGTCACAACTGTATCGATTAGTCGCCCTCGCGCATCTCCCAATAATGCCTATACTATGCGCCGTCATGCCACCGCGTGCCGTTGCTAATACAGAGCAAGTTTCAGCGACGGCACGACGTTCATTCATCGACGAACGTGACAACCTACTCCAAAAACCTATTTCACTCTGTGAACAATTAATCAATGTCGTCATTGATTATTTTGCATACTTCCCAGATGCCTGAAAAATAATAACAACGAAATTTCGGTTGTCCGAGTACAGCGTTGGCGCGGTTGTTAGGTATAACTGTATGAGTCGTGTACTAGTTCCAAATAATATACGAACTAATCAATTACAAGACACTTTTATTTTCGGAACGAGTGCACGAGACTTCCTGACACGTCAAATAATGAATTGAAAAATTGTGTTTTTTGAAAAAAAAACTTTTTTTTGGAATCATAGACTAGACATGAATTTAACCATACAAACGGTATACATACATACTATATTTATTAATACACAGAATTAAAATCATTAAATGTCAGTCGAACAAAGTTTTAAAGAAAATATATTAATAATAAATTACACATTTTATATTATTATTAGTTTAAATATTATTTAATAGTTTAATTAAAAGAATGAATGCAAAAAGATATTAAAAAAAACCATATTTGTATAATTAATATTTTTAAATGAAAATTAAATCCAGTTTAATGAATCAACAATTGTCAAATAAATAAGATAATATAAGATTTCCTGTAACTGGTAGGGTTAATAAGAAAATTAATAGTATTTTATAAAATATTTTTAAAAAAAAATGTTCCAAACCTAATGTTCCCCCGCCTAATAATATTTTTATTTAAATTTGTTACTTTAAAGATATCAATTTGATTCTACATAAATAATTAAAAAAAATTTTGAAGAAGATAAAACAATCTAAACATAACACTTAAAAGTATTGAACATAACTAATAACTAATAATAACTATAATATTAATATATAGTATTTTAAGCGATAGAAGAAAGTATCTGATATTTAATTATTTTTAGAAAAACATTAATAAGTCCTCATTTTATAAACATCATAAGACACATTAATTAAAAAAAATATATGAGATATACTTAATGATATTTATATAGAATAATTAATATTTTTCCACTAATAATTACTTGAAAAAATTATTTTAGAAGTAAAGTAAATATACGGAAAAAATGTTGAAATGTTTTATATACACAGAATTTAAAAAGTTTATTAAGACCCATGCATTCTGAAGTCTAATTATAATAAATTATAATATTAATTAAATAATATATAATTTTTAACCTGTAAATATGTCTGATCGTTTATCGTCAATTAACATTATTTACTGATTTTCAGTAAATATTAGTTTTAAAATGTTCTGATAATAGCATACCTTTATACAAAAGGTTTTAATAATTATTTTCTGTAGTTATAAGCATGATATAATATAATTTCATGGTTATAAGTATAATCATGATATAATTGATACATATTAAATACTTAATATTACAATTACCATAATTAGGTAATAGATTTATCTATAAGTTTATCTATATTTATAAGTTAATTTTAATGGAATGTATTGAATGTTTGAACCAAAAATTAATAAAAAATTAAGCGATTGATCATAAAAATGTATAACACACACAATACTGTGACAATCAGTAAACTAGTACTTTAGTATATTAAAATTAAAATCTCTAAAATTAAAAAAAAAGGATAAAATATGCAGGTCAGATTTTTATAACATAAATTATTGTTAACATTATTAGTGAATTCAACTTTTTATGGATAAATCAGACATTACAGTAATAATCAATATTATTTTCTTGAACATTTTATATTTTATCATACATACCAGATATAAATCATAAATCGTTTTGAAGCGAGTAACAATTTTTTATAGAATTATACAACTGATAAATACTATACTGATAAATATACTTATGTTTAAGTTTATACGAAAGTAACTAAAATTAAATAAGTTTTGTAAACTTTAAACATATTAAAATATACGCATTTAATACACATCAGCACATGAATTCCATATCTATTATCTAATGGCTGATAACAGTGATAACAGAAATATTTTACAGGAGTTCCAAATATGTTGTTTATTTAAAAATAATATGTATAACATATTATTACCATAGACTTATTAATTAATTGAATTGGTCCGTCCGTGCATTATTGATTATTACCTATCTCGTTTTAATTTACGTAAAACCAATTGATTTATTCCAATAACTTTAACTAAAAGCGTAATAATTAAATTAAATTTCATATTTTAAGGTATAATTATATTTTCTATACACAAGGGAGCAACACTGTACATTTATCTCTATATTATTAAAATTTCCAATTTTCCAGACTGGTAACTTCATGGCAGCCGTGTTTATACTTTATATTTTTTCTTTGCTTCATATACTTATTTATACCTAGTGATGTATTACTAAAATAAATCATGGGTATACGCCTTATTTCGTGTAGTAATTATCATACGGTAAGTTAGGTAGGAAGCCATTCGTGTAGCAGGTGATCTACCATACTATACAAGGTGTAGTTTCTGATCTACAATTATTATTACCTATTATTATATTATACTATTATTATACGTACATTATCGTAGACCGCAGTGGGACAGAATTGCGATAACGATTAATAACGTTTACAATATAACAACGAATCATTAGCAATGTTGCTGGATAGGTTAGATTCAAATTGTTCGTTGGTTGGAGCTTGTCTATAATATGTGCGTCTGAATTTTATAAAACGTTTACTGTATTTGAAATTATAATTATATTTGTCTAATAATTTTTTATTTTTATATTTGATGAATATTTGTATGATATGACGTACTCGTAGTAAGAAATATAATGTGTTTGTATACTATTAAAACGTAGATCACTCGTCCTGAATTCGCAGATCGTCCACCCCCCGGTAGATCACCTGCCACACGAATGCCGAAATCCATAGGTACACCAGAATAGCGGTCCTCAATCCATATATCTATAATCTATTTATACATGGTATGTTGTGTATATATGTATATATATATATATTATTGCACAAACGCGAGGAGGCACGAGGCCCTGGGCGAGTGCCCCGTTTGCCCTGCCCTCGGGATGGCACTGCGTAGGAAATAATATTATGTAAATTAATTAATTTATAAGAAATCTTGTACAATAATACCATCTGTTGTCAAGTAGACAAATTAAAAAATATGAACATGTTTATCTGTATATGTATAAATGTTAATATAAACATTAATTTTTTTTAAATTTAAACATATAACCTAACCATAATTCAACTATAAAGCTATTAATATTGTCCCTTTACAATTGTAAAAATAAAAAATCGTAGTATGTAATAGTATTGTGTTTTGCCTATTAACTCTCCATTTTTGATCTCCGTTTTAAAATGTTTGTAAACATTTATATCACCCTCACTCGCCAAAGAGCGTTGTTGTGAGGACACAACAAAAAAATTTGTAAGGTGGATGTAATGATGTGTATCATTCGGTTATAAATCATGTCAAAAATAAGTTGTAACAGTGTAAATTATTAACATGTAAAAAACCAATAAATAACGGTTATTTCGATACGCGCACAGAACAACATAATTCAAATGATAAAGGCATATCCCATCAATAAACTACCTATTGAAGAATTCAATTGGTCAAATCCTCAAAGGACCGATCCAAGGTCCATCCCGCTTTACTTTCGTAAAGTCTTTTTACAGTCTTTTATTGTTTAAAATACAATTATCACCTATGAATATACATAAAATACTAAATAATCTATCATGAAAACAAACTATAACTTACAGGTTTAATACATATATTATTAGTTATTCTGACGTTAAATAATTGGATATAATATTTTTCAATGTCAATATTTATTATATTTAATTCTTTATCACATTTACTTACTGTGTTATTAAGTATAAATTGTAAATTTCATATAAAAATAAAAAAATAAAATAAATTTTTATTCTGGGAAAGCACAACTATGTACTCTTGCGGTGCTCTACACAATAACTGTTTATTGATATAGGTGGTACTGAACTCTTTAAGAAGATATGGTCAAGAAATATTTCAAGTAAAATATTACACTATTTTGTCTAAAATTTTAGAGGAGTAGCTTTTCTAAGTTACCATAATGTAAATTAAGGCTATAAAAGGCTACATTCTGTACATCCTTTCAATAATAACTATAAGTTGTACTTATAAGTATTAAGTATCTATAGCAAAATCAATTAAATTAATGTTTCTATAACTAAAAATATTTTAACTATTACATTATTATAGCTAGCAATATTTAAGTATTCTTTGTTATGTATATAGGATTTTAAATTAGGAAAATTAAGGAAATTCAAATCGAATAAAAAAGTAGAATTAAAACTCAATAAATGTTTATTTTATTGCTTTTATTCAAAATAAACCGCGACAGCATCGACCATTTGGACATTGTCTTGTAGAAATGTTACTTAATAATTTTTATGGTACAATGAATTTGGAGCTCGAAGTTTGAGTTTATTGAGTGATTAGGGGTGAGAACGTTGCTCTTTGATTTCTAGATCTGCCTTTTAATTTTCTTCAATATTAGTATGCTCTGTATCCAACATTTTAAGTTCTTTATTAAATATATATTGTTATATATAATTGTATTCGATATACTATATTCTTGAATTAGACGTGTTGCCTTAATTATTGCAAATAATCCTGCTGTGAAGATAGAACCCCACATAATATAGTATAATAATATAGTTCCCCATTTATAAAGTCTTTCCGCTGAAAGTAGTCGATGAAGAGAAGGAGAAACATTTTGACCTCCTATTAATGTACAATGACGAAAAAAATACACTATACCTATATATCAAACTTCTCAAGACTTGTTCGAATTCAAAAAATTCTACATATAGAGTGTTGATTTTTGTAAAAGGTGTTTTACAAATTTCGATGGAAAAAATTTAAATTAAGTGGTCAGGCAGCGCTAGACGAACATTTGAAAAATATGTGGGTCTCATAAATTTATATTACCAGTCATGCCTGTAAAAGGGACAACTCTAGAATTCGAGGCATGAAATATGACACAGAGCACCCAGTAGTAATTTATGCCGACTTTGAGCCAATATTAGTACAGATTGAAGACATAAAAGGAGAAAAGTCAACAGCTTATACCGATGAGTCGAAGAAAAAAAAAAATTAAACTGTACATTTTTGTACAGTTAAGATAATTTTTTGTACATACTATATGTAGGTATTAATTATTAGTAAGGAACGGATTTATATGTAATAAAAATACAGAAATATGTACGAAATATGTATGAAATATATATGGAAGTATAATTTATAAAATATGTGTTAAAAACATCCAAATATGTGGGGAAAAAATTGAACTAAAAAAAAAAATACCTTTATAATTATTAAAATGATATTAAACGATATGTTTAAGTATTATTGCAAATAATCCTGCTATGAAGACATGGGCGCCGGAACAATGGGAGCAACTGCCCCCACGGGAAAAATTCCGTGAGAGCATAGCCCCCACGGACATTTTCCTAGAATTTACGCTCTCGTGACTAAAATACATAGGTCATCTTGTACATTAATTTTTATGTTGAATATATAAATAAAACTCAAATCTATTTAAAAAAACTGTCTGTTTTTAAGTATAAAACATACCTTGTTTCAGATGGCAGAAAGCGCCAACAATCCGCCAAACCGTAATAACCGGCCATCCCGCGGCGTGATAGCCGCCCACCCCGCGGCGTGATAGCCACCCACGTGGAGAAGCTTCGGACCATGGCCGGGCAGCTGCTCCGAGAAGCCAGGAGGCTTTCAGGGGATGGACCGGAGAACACGGTGAGTGGTTGGTCGGCTGAACGCGCAGCCACCGCGTCATTTGCCCGGATCCGGGCCAGCCTGACGGCGTAGACCTTCTTCGAGAGAGGTTTCGCCGAGGGATGTCGGTCCACGCGGGCTAGCACCCCACAACCGCAGCGAGAAGCCACCCGGGCTCATGCAGGGCCTCCGGGAAGGGTACCACCTCACCGAGCGTCACCGGCGTACCAACGCCATGATGTGCGGGACAGACGGGGGCGGTTCTAGCCACAGCAGCCAGCTCCGCAACCAGCTCCGCAGCCAGTTTAGCAGCCAGGCCAGCAGCCAGCTCCACAGCATGTGGAGCAACCGACGCTGCTGCTAACTACGCAGCTACCGGCCAATCCACCGGACAGCTCCCAGCAGCAACAGCTAGCCGTGGTGGAACGGTGGATCGAGGCTATGGAGGTGACGTCCGAGGCCCCGCACCCCAACACGAAGTAGCCCAATTGCTCGGCCGCGTCTCGCGGACTCGGGGGAGTATGTCGCGGTCGTTATCGCAACGAACGCGGCGTCTCTCTCTCGGCGTCCGCGAGAACACGATCGTCAACCGGTCTGGCCGCCGTGGCTGAGGCAGCCACCGACCCGGACGACTTTTTGGTCTGACTCCGTTGTTCGAAAAGCTCACGCACAAGGACAGAGGAGTGAACAACAGTTGGTCATTTTGTCCGTCTAATTTATTAGTTAATAAAATGTAATTTTATCTTATTAAATAAAGATTGATATTTAATATAATTTTAATTAAATAAGAGAAAATTACATTTTATTAACTAATAAATTAGACGGACAAAATGACCAGCTGTTGTTCACTCCTCTGTCCTTGTGCATGAGCTTTTCGAAGAACGGAGTCAGACCAAAAAGTCGTCCGGGCCGGTGGCTGCATCAGCCACGGCGGCCAGACCGGTTGACGGTCGCACTCTCGCGGACGCCGAGAGAGAGAGACGCCGCAGTCGTTGCGATAACGACCGCGACAATGAATCGTAATAAAACTGTATAATTATTCTTTATTGATTTGCTTTTAAACATTTATAAACGTTTGTTTCAGTCTATAAAATATGTTTTGACTTCTAATTCATCCACAACCGATGTAGGTCTGACTTTTAAATATGCACTCGAAGGAGTAAGCAGTGTTCTCGGATTTTTCTCGTGTGTTGGGGACAACGTTAACATCGTTTCTACATCTCCGAATTTATCTGGAATTTGCTTATAGTATTTATCAAAAAGTACAAATGGATTATTAGTATTGGTAACATCGTCATCAGTTGCTGCCTGACGATTAAAGGTTTTCGACAAATGCACTTGATGTTCCCCGGTTTCGATATATTTACCGATATTTGATGAGTAACGAGCTTCATTTTTTTTTTTGTTCTAACGGAACATTAAAAGTTGATTCTTTAGATTTTAAAACATCTCCAACTGTAGTCAATGTCTGTGCGATCATTTTACTTTCTTGGGCTAGATCTTCAATTTTATTTATCATTGGTAGCATGCGTTTTTTCCAATAATCAATATGATCGTAAAAATTCAAAAATTTACAATCGTCAATCGTATCTTTCATTAATTCTTCGCCGTTCGTCGTAGATTCTGTTTCTTCTACTTCATTAGCTACACACTCGTACACCTCATCGAAACGTTTTTGATTCAAAAGTTCCCCAGATAGTAATTGATCTACACTAGCTTTACTCATAGTCTGGTCGACTCGAGGATCCATGCTAGTAATTAATTGGTAAACATTCAAAAAATTGTTGAAATCATCAACCGTCATACAGCTCAAAGCTTCCTGCATTTTATCTGTGTTATGAGTTTCGTTTAAAACAGCCAAGTTACTGGAATCCATAGTTTAATAAAGATTTAAATTTAAAATTTTGAAATTTGATCAAATATAAAAATAAAAAAAAAACTGATTCCTTATAAAAAAGTAAAGAATAAGTCGTTACTGTAGTTACCAATCAATATATGTAAAATAAAATATATTATCTATTGTTAATTTAATATATGTATTAACTTTTAATTAATCCTTAGTATTAGGCTATGAATTAGATTACATTTGCATATTTTAAAGAGTTACAATATTTTGGATCCTGAGTGAAACAAAGAATGCATTGTTTTTTACCATTATGTGTGTTTTCTTTAGTGTACACGATTCATCATCAAAAGTAAAAGATAGAAAATTGTTTCTTGTTGGTACTTTAAAAAAGGTTATTATACGAATTTCTCAAAACGTTCCTTAATAATTGCAAACAAATTGACAAAAACAAATTTTTTGGTATACCGGTTGTCGACAAAATCGAATTTTTGTTTTCTTCGTAGCTCAAAAAATAATAATCTTAGAAATATGAAATTTTCAACGAATGCTTTACTGTTACAAAATGCTAAAAATGTAACTTTTAAAAAGGAAAAAATATGTAGAACTATTTAAAGAAATAATTATAAAAATGAATTGAAATATTTATGTTTTCTTAGATTTTTTTTCAAGGTTTTCAGTTGATAAAATGTCTTGAAAATATAATACAAAAATTTTTATATACACATATATTACTGATTAAAGAAGAAAAATGATTTTTAATTTATATATTAAATATAATATATATTTAACATATTTTATTAATACTAATATTAATATATATAATAATAATAATAAAATTATAAAAAGTTTTTAAATATCAAATTTTACAAAACGATAAAAATCACGAAAATCCGTTAAATTATTGTAATAAAAATCTATAAAAATTTTAAATTTAATGCTTGAAAATTAGATACAAGATTTTCTGAGTTTTTTTGAAGCTACTAAAAAAAAAAAAAAAAAATTACCGGAAGATCAAAAATATGATTTATAATCGTAACAACTTGACATTTTGAGGATAATCGACTATTTTGACGACATTACATTTAACGATTAGTGATGATCAAAACATGACCAAGACTTTTAAAATCTTGATCTTGCGCAAAACTCTCGCAAGGCTCTTGCTATTTTCACAAAATATATAAAAAAAATCATCAGGTCTATCGTCTCTAACTAGACGATAACCAAGAATATTAATTCGTCTATTAGAAAGAAGCCATGTCTCTGAAAAGAAGGTAATTGAAACAGAATTAGATGAAAATATATGCGGAATATCTATTAGACGTGCAGAAAGGCTCCTGGTATTTCATTGAAGGATATTAAGAAGAGTGTTGAATGAATTGTTGATATTAGGCATGAGAATAGGAAATAACTTGGAATCCGACCGTAAGATTGGATTACATAGAATATTGAAAAGAGATGACTCAATTAAATTAGATAGCGTTTCAGGAGATATATGCTTCTGATTGTTAGAAATAACATTGGCAATGAGACTCGACAAGGCTTTGACACCTCTAATAGGAAGGGCGTGGCAAATGAGCTCTCTAGGAGATCTCGAGAGTCACCGATTTTTTGGGATTCAACGTAAGCTGGGAAATTACCATTAGGAGCTGATGGAGAGGAGATGGCGATTGGGAACCGAGGTAAGGCTGAAGACCTTTGATTGTTGTTATTTTTCCTCTTTCTTTTTTTTTTGATAGTTCATTAAAATATTATTGTACTTTAGATCTGGAAATAAGGGGAAATAACTGGTGAGATTGCGAGGAATTACTATGGATGCATTAGTACCGTAAGAGACATTTGGTGCAGGGCTAACATGAGAAAAAGTGTGAGCTTTACTTATAAGATTATTGTTGTTGAATTGAACAGCTTCTGGGAACGTTAAATTTTCGACAGCCATAATTTTCTCGATTTTCTTCTGTTTGATCCACTCTGGGCAGTTTCTGTCTGATAAAATATGACTGCCCTTGCAGTAGAAGCAGGTTGGGTCTGTGGTGGTAGCCGTGGGGTACGATAAGAGATTGTAATTGGCTTCAGAACAATGTGAACACTGAGGTTTACTACGACAGTATCTTCCTGTGTGGTCAAATTTTAAGCAATTGGAGCATTGAATGGGTGGTTTTATACTGGGAAAAACCTTGATACGTACTTTGGAAATTGAAATAAAATCAGGTCTAGAAGGTGATAAGAATTTTAATTCTACTAAGTTGAAGGTACGTATGCTATCATTAGCTTGACGTAGAATAATGTGACAAAAGGATGCAACGCAGTGGTCTGGATCCAGACCATCAAAGAAGTCCGACCCGATATCAGCTGGTCCAGCCAAATAAAATCTAGACTGTATACCAGTGTTGAAGGAATATAAGCAGTAAAGCTATTACTCTTAAGTGGGTTTTCTAAGAGATAAGTGGTGTTAGTGACGCTGTCGAATGTCACTCTAACTCTAGCGCCTAAAGCTTTGATCTCCGTAATACCAGTAACCTTACCGTATATAAGTTTGCCTATCTTCACAGGGGGCGATTTGCCCGGCTGCAAGTTATTGTCGATAGCGTCGATTATTGAGTACAGTGGGTCCTGATAGGAATCCGAGGACGAGAGTAAATTGGCATCAGTGATCGGATTATTTGCGATTGATATACCTGAACTATCATTGCCATGACCGTCCGAAGTAGTATGTTTATTGTCAATAGAATTGCGTATCGACGATTGAATTGTTATTTGTCGCCGCGTTATCCATGGACTTTGGACTGACGTCCGTATCGAAATTAAAATCTATAGAGTCATTACTATTAATGTGTCCAATATTAGATATATCAAATATTATCGATTATCACTAATCGATTTGAAATTAGGAGAAATTGGATTTGAATTGTTCTTATTTTATTCATTGTTCTTACCCTTTTTAGAAAAAATAGAGAATCCATGCAGAAGAGGTTGTTTTTCATTGTGGTCACCTTGAAGTTGGTGGTTTTACGATTTGGAGGTTCGTTGTTGCCGCCTCCCGAAGAAGACGACATTGTCATGAATTAGATTAAAATAAATATATAAGCTATGTAAGTGCACCGCTGATAAGAGAGCTAGCAAGCGATATACGTCAGCACTGGTAGAATGTCGAGACGAGACTAGGGCCTTCGCAAAAAAATAATTTAAAATTTGGGAAAATTACAAGTGCCAATTAACAGCACAAATTTCATTAACACGTTAGCCTCCGTGTGCCCACCGGCGGTCATTTATTGATACGCCAAGTGTTTTTTCACAAGTTATTATTAAATATTTTATGTACCGTATCTATAACTATCTTAATTAATTAAAATAATCTATCTAATAGTAACTCTTGCGCGAATAGTTATTATTTATTTGAAATTTTCATCTTATGGCTAACTGATGCAACTGAAATAAAATGTAACATGTAAATAAAAACATTTTAACCATTGACATAAATATTTAAAAATATGTAATTTTATACACCCATAAATTAAAACCATAAAAATAAAACATTGAACTTACAAAGATTGAAGGTGTTCATTAAATGTATACTTATGACTACATAGATTGCTAGTACCATCCGTAGATTAAGTACATGCATTAATGTTTAATTTATTATTTATTAATATTATATAATTTATAATACAAAGTCCATAATATAATTCATAAACTATCATTGCAATATTTATTAAATTAATTACTATTATAAAATATGAACATTGTTAACAGGTTTTATATAATATAAAGTTTATGTAATAATTTTCAACTTATGATAAGTTTAATAATGACTAGTGTAAAAAAGATAATAATACATTTCAAATTGTAAGTAATAAAAATGCTGTAGTAATTTCGAGGATATTTCATTAAAAGTTCAATAATAAAATGTACTGATGCATATATTCTCAATTTATATTTTTAAATCAGTTTTACATTAATGATTAATATTATTGGATAAAAAATAAGTATTAAAAGTAATGTACAACTGAAAATTTGTAACATAAATTTTAAAGAATAATTTATTATATTTCTTACAAATTATATGGAAGTTTTAAAATTACACGGCTGTGTTAAAGAGTTAAAATATCTGTAAGTTGTAATGAATGATTAATGTATAGATGTTAAATTATTGATCGGGATAAATGTGAGAATTTTTATTAAATGTATTATTATCACTATCGGTTGACTGAAGGCCTCTCGAATAACCTATTTGAAATGCTTTCCTTTCCAATCCCTTAGCTAACCCTTCTTGAAATGCCCTTTCTTCGATTTTTTTTAGATAACTCAACAACCCCCCAACGCCAGACGTAGATGGCTGAGAATTTGATGTTGTTTCTGATGTCCTAGGGTGAAATTTTGTTTTAAATTTTCTATGACTATAAACTCTGGACGGTCTGTCGGTTTTAATTGATAATATTTCATCAATGCTAAATCTTTTGAAGTGCAAAACCAATTCAGACCTAAGCGTATGTGGACACATATCTATAGGAACTATACGAAGGGGAAGAAATGGATCGGAATCTATTGGCTTTTGCCAATATCTGACAACCGAGGAAAAATCCAGAAGATTTTTCAAAGGTAATTTATGGTTAGAACAAACGTAAATTAAATTGATTGCTTCTTCAAATTTACGAAGAGTTCTCACTAATCCAGGACCTTTTTAAAAACAACATATATATTGTATTACTTTATGTAAAGTAATATAAGTAATGTAGTTTAAAATAGTTATTTCACTTACTGACTCCAGTTAAAGGTGGATCCATAATCACAGTTACGTTACATCCTTTAAGCTTTTCAAGAACAGAATCTAAAATATCTTCAGTACGACCTGCTATAAATTCACAATTATTTATTCCGTTGATTTCTGCATTTCTTTTTGCATCTAATATATTTGCCTTGATTAATTCGATTCCCACAACTTGTTTACACTTCTGTGTGATTATACAAATTTAATTTTCAATAAAAATATTTCGTGAATAATTTACATTTATTAAATAAGTAGGTATTATAAGCTTTATCTTATAAATTAAAAATAATACATTTTATTTTACAATTATGATTTTACTTATATTATATCGTACATCGCCCTTGTTAACGAGTTTTCGCAACAAAAATCATAGTCGTAATAAAATAATATTGTTTTCGTTAAAATCAATATATATAATATAATTGAAAAATACACCATAGTTTGTAATAACAACCATTAAAAATGTAATCCCTCGATATATTTGTCACCTTTTCCATCTTCGAAATCGAGCAATAAAAAAATTAAACTTTTCATCACTCCAAACAGATTTGTCCTTTATGGATCACTGATAAGACTCCTACCTAAAGCGAGGTCGTGATCAATCAGATCTCTATACCGGATGACAACCTTACTAGTAGGACACCACCTATAGATATTAAGAACATATCCAACCTTTAGGTGCTAAAGCACGATCTAATCTCTATTATGGGACTAGATGGCTTTTCTCAGTGTCAAAACATTTCATAAAAAATTCAATCATAAAACTGTTGTCTGTATAAAAAAAAATGTTAGTTTATCTATTAAGTTCAGATTTATCATTCCACACTAAGCGATGATCCACATCTGCATCATTCTACTTCTACTGATAACATCGAAAGGGTCTCAACTGAATAGGATTTTACCATTTAAAAGGTTAGAGATGTTTTTAAGTAAACTGCTTGTCACTGTTTTATTTTGTTTTAATCTTGATAAGAAGATTTTACATAAAAATATTAAAATTGACTTAACTTCTACAATTCAAAGTCATCGTTGAAAAACCAAGAAAGGTTTGCCATCAGCCACAATACATACGGTACCATGCGGTACTTATACGGACATACTGAAATATTGTGTCCACTTTCAACGCTGCATTAAATATAACTAGATATATCGCCAATTACAAAGGTTGTCTTAAAAAAAAATTATTCTGGTTTATGACATAAAATATCCAATCGATCTAAACAGATATAAAATAAATCATCAATTCAAAATTCTAAAGCAGGGGTCGGCAACTGGCGGACCGCGGTCCGGATTCGGACCGTGGAAAGCAATGCTCTGGACTCTGTCAACTCTTATTTTCATACTCCTAATAATGTAATTTTTAATAAAAATTAATTGTAATAACTAAATAATTATTTTTATTTTTATACTGCTAATTTTAAAATATAAAGATTTGAAAAAGATTGTTTTCATTGGACTTCATTGATTTATTATTTTAATTTTTAAGACTCCAATATAAATTACTTGCCGACCCTTGCTCTAAAGGCTCCAGTATTCTAGAACGTGTGCTCGGCTACGAAAGAAAACATATGCTAAAGTTGCTTTAGGTTTGCACAAAAAAACTTCTTTAATAATTATGTCAACAATTTTATCAACATTTATTTAAAATTTAAAATAACTAATCATTCCACTAATTCCATTCCTAACTAATGTAACACATTAATAATATATTCCATGGTATTTTTTCTAATTTAACTGGCTTAATTTTACTATATATACATACACTTTCACATTAATTATGTCAATTAAGTTTTAGTAAATTTTATTTGCCTTCTATTATATTTATATATATTTTAGAAATTTAATGCTTATCTCACTATACTATTTGCTAATACTGTTATATATTTGATGATATTAACTATTTATAACTTATTGTTAATAGTTAATACCAAAAAAAAAACTGTTTATTTTAGAGGATATTTTGCTTTTAAATTAATTAAAAATTATGTTAGATTCATTCTACAAAATAAATTTAACAATTTTTTTATTCGAATATTATTTGTATTTTTTGATACCAAATCAGTTGAAATTAAATAATATCAAATATACTTGGATGATGTTATTTATATTGTTTAATGACGAACACTAACTTTTTTCTATATTAGCCACTTTCCACTTTTTTGACTCATGTACAATGTACAATTTTGAGAAAATAGTACTTTCATACATAAAATTCAATATATCTTGTAAATTATAATAAATAAGAAGAAGTATGTAAGAACATAATTTATAAAAAATTTTATTATATTTAAAATATATTATGTAACAAATTTTAATTTTCCTAATTGTAAATGAGTTATATATGAAAATGTAAAATATATCATTAAATTATGAATGAATTAATATACTCAAATTTCAAATTCAAGTCGGCACGGGTTAACCTTAATAGATTGACTTAAAACTTTTTGTAGTTCATTTTTGTAGGCATATACACAAATTAAGTGGGTGAGACCAACAAAAATGCAAAAAAAAATTTAAGAAATACCCTAATGTACATAAATGTGCATACGGTGGGTTCCGAGTGTGCCTGTGCAACCCTCGAAATTTAATTGGAAACACTTATTTTGATTATAACAACTGGATGTTATTGATTAATAAAGTACTATTAATAAATCAACATTACAATTATTTCAGAAATAAATATTAAATCGAACTATTTAAGGAAATATATAACTTGGCACTAATAATCATATACCACTAATTATTTTAACATTTTGTGAAGTCGAAATATATACAACAATCTGATATCTATAATTTGTTATAATTATAAGCATGAAACTATTATAAGTTGACGGTTTCTTTATATTATTTATGAATCATTTTACAATGATCACTGTCCACTGATCTAACATTGTTCTATTACATATTTTTTTAAATTTAAAGTCATGCCACCTAAAAGTGATTTTCAAAAGCTGAAAGAAATAGTTAAAAAAAATTTGGAATTGAAAAAAAAACGAGGTTCTTATGATACATTTATTCTATCCAGAAACAATCGTAAGTACCAATATACATATAATAGTAATAGTAATGTTTATGTATATAGTCCTATTTAATAAATACATTTAAATATATCAAATGTAAAAGAAAAAAAAATATGTCTATTGTTATTTCTCTTTACCATTATAAATTTTTTATTATTATTGAATTTAAAAGTGAGTTACAAAATAAGTGCAATATAAATCATAATCTCAAATTAACATTTTTATTTTATGACTTATTAGATAATAATAATTAATTATTGTAAATATTATATTTAGCTAAAATTGGGGCAAAAAAAAAAAAATGTAAAAATTATGATTTAGCATAAATTACTTCTACAAGTTCTATACTATAACGTTGTAAAGTTTTCTACTGAAGAGTATATAACTAATTCTAATTTACCATCTAATAATCATACCAATATTAAAATATGTTAATGATGGTAATTTAATATTTATAGTAAATATTGTTTTGCTATAAGTATAATGGAGTTCAAAGACTCCGTTAGATATAATATTATTAGATTTTTTTTAAAATACTTCAGATCTTTAACATTTTTTCCGTTTTTAGTTGTTCATATGAACGGGTATTTACAAAATTGAATATTGTGAAAAGTAAATTTAGATGTACCATGGCCCAAGACCGTTTGGAATTATTAATTTTACTATTCACAGAACAAGAAATTGCCTCTAATTTTGAAGTAAATTTAGTTATTAAATGCAATGTGAGATTTGTTTAAATATAGGTTATGTATATACATAATTTATAGTAAACATATAATATTATGTACATTAGGTACCTACAGACATTTATTAATATTCAATTTTGCAAATCCATTAATCAAAAATCGAAATTGATCAATCTTCTATACATATATTTCTTCTATATTATAATTATATATTATAATCTTCTATATTTACAAACGGTCAATTAAAATGTATTCGGTATAAAATATTAAAAACATGGTGTATTATTGTTGACATATTTTGTACTTAAGTTTCAATATTAAGTTTTTTGTCCATATAAAATATTTTAATTTATCATTATTTTTTATTGTAAACAAGATATATATATATATATATAAATGATAAATTCACATTCTATAATATCTCTACTCGGTATTCATTACAAACACAAATTATTTATCATCATTATTAAAACATTTTTCACCAAATATATTTCTTTCTAACTTTCAATAAATAATTGTTAAGAACAGAATAAAAACAAAGGAGTACTCCGGAATCTCTCCCACTGGTATACAATACTGGTCTATCTAATATCGACGATATTAGTTTATGTAATGATTATTTAATATTAAGATTAGAAGAGAGAATATTGAACTGTTACTGTGATAATGGTAGAAGGGTAAAAGCATAAAATGTATATAAATATACAAAAAACACAACAAAATACAAGCTTAAAAGTTTTCAAAATTAAAATTTAAAATATAGATTTCATAAATGACATAACTCATAAAATACATAATTTATAATAAATACCTAACTATAATCTATAAAATAGGTATATTTTAAATTGATCACCTTGAACTAAAAAAACTTATTTCATCATTACATGTTATCGCGTGAAATATTGAGTATTTAAAAATATTTTTATAATAAAATATTACTTGTTTTATTCTTATTTATATTACTATAATATACTCATGTTTATTATATTATATTTTCCATTCCATAAATTTAGACCATAAACAATTATTATCAACTGTAATGACATCGATATTTAATGTACTTGATGTACAAAGTAAACAAGTGTTTATGCACAAATATTTATTTATTTAAACTCTTTGTTTAAAATAGAAAATAATTTTCAATTTTCAATTAAATTTTAATCAGTCGATTAAATTATATTGTGTGTAATACTATAATTTAACATTGTTGAAATGACCATCGGACTATAAATTAAAATGCACAGCTAATAATGCTACAATGAATTTATCTGATGTACATGATATACACTAAATATTTTTTATACAGTGATTTTTAAAGTAAATTGTAATTGTTGATAATATGCTAGCAGAAAATATATATAGAAAATAACTAATTTATTACCTTGGCTAATGTAAGAGCTAAACATCCTGACCCGCAAAACAGATCCAGAACCGTAGTATTTTCGTTTACATCAGCGAGATCAGCAACCACTTTACACAATTCTTCTGCGCCTAAACTATTTAAACGAAAATATGTGGCTGGAGAGATTTCCAATGATAAACTTAATAGCTTTTCAATAATATACTTTTGTCCCCATAATAATTCAGCTTCGTTCGGAGTACTGATACAATCAGCTAATGCCCTATAGATATAAATTTATGTTTAAAACATAATTGTAATTTAAAATGTCTTGGTGTAGTTTGTAATGATTTAAAATGTAATTAACTCACTTTTCACCATAGACTTGAAAATATAAAGAAACTACATTTTCGGTAATATTTTCTTTAAACCATTTAGAAATTGAACATTTGATACTAGGCAATTTTTCAAAATCCAACACAAGTTGATTTACAACTATTGAAACCATTACTTCTCCAGCTTCATTCATACGAATTATCATATTACGCCATAATCTCCAATCCCCGCCATAGTTTTTCACAAAATTTTCAAACTTCTGTTAACAAAATGGTAATGTAAAAATACTGATCCAAACCCACATTTTATACTTATCGTTACACTATTGAGAATAATTGCTCAATTTATAAAATTGAGAACGACCTGTAAAATGGATCAATACAAATAGTCGTAATGTACCTGAACGTACTCGTATTTAAAATAACGAAAAAAAAAATGAATATTTTATGATATCATTAAGTCAAACACAATGAATTTTGTCCAGTATTTATTAATATTACACTACCTTTGCTAACGTGATCATTGGTATCGGCAAATTTCTTAAGCAGTCTGGCGGACCGACATAGTGGATTCCGTCCATCGAGTCTTTCACTCTCAGCCCAACGGCCACTGAATCGTTCTCGGGATTAATTCCTGTATACATTTTAAACCCAGTCCGATGGGTATTACAGTATAATATATGAACCCATTCCTTTGGGCTATTTATTGGGAACAGTGGCGAGCTCAGCTTATTAAATTAAAGGCAAGGCAATTGGTATAAAGTAATTTACTTGTCTTAAAAAAATATAAAATTGAATAATTGAAAATGTCTAGTTAAAAATACAATAATAGATATAAGTGATATGATGACCTTGCCTTCTCTGTGAGCACGCCCCTGATTGAATAGCAGGATCATGTCAATTTTTATAAAAATCGACTTCAACTGTTTGGGATGCCTACCTTTTTTAATTTGTCTGTTCCTTATATATCTAAATAACCAATAATAATGTTGTGATATTCACTCACCTACGCTCCATTCGCATTTGTTACGGTACCGGTCGATTTTTTTTGATTGTATGATTGGGGAAAGCTCGAATGCTAAATCACTGTTTAACTGTCGTTTACGCATAGCACACCATTCAGCTAAAGGTGGTTGTTTCCGTTGAATTATAGTTCCAAAACGTTGAAACAAAATTCTAGCTTCTTCACTCTTTTTTCTTAACTATTTTAAATTAAATAAGTAAATATCAACTAAATTATTTCTAGTTATTTCTAAAATATAATAGTTGTAATCTAATCATATTTATATATATATTATAAATAATACACACTACCCATATCTAGAAAGTTTGAAACCTTTTATTTTACGAAAATCACACATTCACTCATTGTAAAAAACAATATTAAAAAATAATTACCAATAATATAGGTGTATTAACTTAATTGTTAAACGGCCATTAAGGCATACCTAATAAATCTTTAATGAACATAGACTATGTATAAGTATTTAGTCATATCCCGAATATAGCTTTTGTGTTTTCAAACATACTGTATACATGATTGTAGATGTCGATTTTTTAATACCATATTTTAGACTTTGAAATGCAATTAAGAATATAAATAAACATAGTAAAATAGTTTTTTTTTTTTACTCACTTGTTCTTCATATTCAATACTATGATAAGGAATTGTCGACATTAAAACCTGTTCACTAAGTGGAATATCTAATTTTGGTTTTTTAGTCGCATGATTACTTTCGATGTATGTTAAATTTGTGTTAGTTTTTGGTGTGTCAGCTGTAACTAACTAAAGTTATTGTAAATACGCAAATATATTAATTTTCAATAAAATAGTATTATGTGTAAAAAAAAAAAAATAATGCACGAACCGTACTAATTAATGAACGTCCTTTCCAGTTATATTTTTTTAATAACTTTAAAGCATTCGCTTGTTCGAATTCAGTTGGAAACGTGAGGTAAAGCCAAGCGTTTCCTTTTTTACTGTATCTAGCGTGTATGCAATTTAATTTCAATTCCTCATTGATCATTTTCAAAAACTCTTGAAGCAAAGGATCCTAATAACATTTATAATTATATAAGTAAACTTTTAAACCTATACAATATAATTAATGTTTCATACAAGTAATTATAATTCCTATATAATGTAAACTTAAATATGAAATTATTATAAAAAATTATATTTTTCCATTTGTGTATTTAAGGTTAGAGCGATGAATTTCATGAATTTCTTTATAATCATTTGCAGTAAATATTTGATCATTTTAATCGTATGTAGTATAAATGTAAGTAAAATGTAAAAACATTTGATACTTTAATTTAATTTTTTGAAAGAAAATACTTTTTGATTAAACCCCATCTTTATTATGCATTATGTACAGTAAAACAATTGAAAAACCGAATTCCAGCAGTGAAAAAACTGATAAAAAATGCATTTACAGTAAAATAATGATAAAATATACTTATATAATTAAATACATTTAAATACTTTTAATAAGTTATAATATTTAATTTTTGAAATAAATTTTAACCAAATTAATATTATGAATAGGTAATATATATGATTAATTTGAAAAAATGTTAATAATAATATTTGTATAATGATAATGAAATGCGATAATTCGATAGTGACAAAATAAAAATTAAATTATTGAGTATTTATACCTAATTTAAAATTTTTATTAGTAAAACAAGACAGTTAAAAAGAATCTCAAATATTGCTTAGTAAAAATTAATATTTAATTACTGAATTAATAAAATAATAGTATTTACTATTACCTGAATTGGTAAACATTGAAAGTTAGAGTATTAATAATGATATAATAATTTCCGGTGTTAATAAGTGGTATAATAATTATTTCAAAATATTTGTTTAAAATTACCATTAAATATAAAAATAATAACTTACTAATAAAGAATAAAATCTTGGCAGACCGCTTACTTTAATTTTGTACCGTAATTTATCTGTACTTAAATTTTTCGAAACGTTCATTTTCAAATTTTCTTTAGGAACCTAGTATTGAATGTACAATGCACAAGTTTAACGATGATGACTTCCGTTAGTTGTGATTCATATATGAAAACCATGCTTGAATAATTAATATTTAATAAATTATCATTGCTTTGTTGGAATAATAACCTTTATGACTCGTACAATGATAAAAAAAAACCTGTCTTGTAAGACATATAAGATAATGAGGTTTAGATTATTTGGTTAATGTTTTAATACTTAAATTACATGTAAAATAAAAGAAACATAAACATAATATTGCTCACATAAGGTTAAGTAAAATGTGTAGGACCTACACAAAAAAGATCTAAGATTATAAAATATATTTTGTTAATTAATCAATCTCAGTTTGTTACAACTACAAATAAACATCTTAAGCTAGTAGATATTAATAATATTTTTACTGTTTTAGTAATAATTGTATTTATATTACTTAATTTTTAGTTTTCTTTATTCTATCTAATTAATTTATGAATTAATTATTTTAATCTAATTAAACCGTACTGTTATATATTAATACAAGTAAATAAATTATTTAGTTTGAATAGATAAACATTGTCATGGACGTTTTTGAAAAATAAGAAAAATAACCGTGTTTGAAAGTAGTTATAATGTTTATTTTTATAAAAACAAAATCTTCTGTTAACATATGAAAAGATTGTGATGCTTAAGGGCCCAATGGATTTTAAGAACTAGGTCACTTGAATGCATGACATAATAAAATCCGTGATAAAAATCCTTACTGCTATTAGCAATTAAGATCAGATTCTATTTCAGACAAGCAAATTGCTGAATAAATGGTAACTTTTAAAATGACGTACATGGGTTCTCAACATACATAATAAATTTTATAATGTATATTTTAAATATTTTAAAAGCTGATAACAGTGCCTTCATTGAAGATAATTAAATATCAACATTTGTAAATTGTAATAATACAGGTATATATAGCAAAATAATGAAAACATTTTAAACGTGTAAGAGACTTATATAAAGCATGTATAAAAATAATTAAGTAAATATTCTTATAAATACATTATTTTAATTTAAATTGGTTAGTTTTAAATGTCCCCAAAGACAAAATTCAAGTAGTGTTAAATTGGTTAAACGTGCAAGCCAAGCTATTGGACTATATTTCCTCATCCAAATTTCAAAATGTATTATTTAGGAATTTTCTTACATAATCTCCAGCATTTCAAGTATAAAATATAAACTGTGATTTTTTTTGTGCTTGTACTATAGTTTATTGCTATTGATATAGTAGACGATTTTCAAATTTAAGGTTTTTTTAATAATAACTTTCTGCTAAAGACAGATTTAAAAAATTAATAAATATATTACAAACAATTATAATAAATATAATGCAATATTGATTTTGGTTATATTTTTCTAATTCGGAAAGAATTAAAATAATTTACTGTCACGTTCAACATTTTTAATGTGACTGAAATAATTAAAAAATCATGAATTTTTTTAATGGTTTTTAGAACGATTTATCGCTACTTACGAATACTCAGGCCCGTATTTAGGTGGGGGGCACGGGTAGGCACATACCCGGGGGCGTCAAGTTTTAGGAGCGGCAAAATATTTTAGAAAAATTAATTTTAATAATGATGTATCTAATGAAAAAAAAAAATAGTATGTTTTATGATGTTATAATTTATAAATTAAAAAAAAAATTGTATTTTTACTTTATTATAATTTGTTAATTAAAAAAAAAAAGGAAATTTAATGTTTTATTATGTTATAATTTGTTTAATTTATTAATTAAAAAAGGTATTAAAAGATTTTCATTTATAAGTTATATTTTAATATTAAAGAATCTCAATTATGGACGAAATAATAAGTGTTATAATTATTATTATTTATTTTGGTAGAGGGGGGCATAAATTATATGCCGGGGGGGCGCCAAATTTTTAAATACAGGCCTGCGAATACTAATGATACATAATAATAGTGTAAATATAAGACTTCGTACCAGTAATCTACATCAGCGTTTCTCAACCAGGAGGTTGCGACCCCTAAGGGGGTCGCGAACACCTTGAATTGGATCACGTAGGTTAAAAATTATAAAACGTTGATTTACAAAATATAAATTAAAATCAAATTTTTACCTTAAATAGATGGAGGGTGGGGGGTCGCGAAGTGATTGACCATATTTTATACCTATTTTGGGGGTCGCGACACTAAAAAGGTTGAGAAACAATAATCTACATAAGTTTTGAAGTATATTCTGTCTGTACGCAAACTATCATTATATTGTCTGATCAATTAAACGAAAAATTCTCAAAATACTCGAAATCTGTATCCAACCGTTGTATTTATTAATTTTAAGTGTACAAAATACATAAATATAATATGTAACGCATCTATAACATTTTTTGTACTATAGTAGCGATAACCTAGATAACACAGTCAAAGGTCTTGAAAAGTATGTACTCAGTAATTGAGAAGACGTTTGTAATATTACTATATATTCAGCGTTTTTCTATGACATGGATACGGTACGTCTAATTTAGGAGGCTATACAAATATTATTAAAAAAACTACTTCTTGGTACAAGTAAATTTAACCACGCGTATATACTTATTTTATTTTGATAGTTTTAATAGGTAGCCTAATTAAAGATAATTAAATATTTATGAGATAATACTAATAAATTTCTGCCTTTTCTTTTTCATCTCCATATTTCCTTAACATATACAGTTGGCCATCCTCGTCTTCAAATTCTTCACAGGAATACTAATAACACTAAATAAGTAGTACCTAACTGATACGGTGATAACCTATTGAAACATTTAGTAGTTCTTTTATTTGAAATAATACGTGTCTAAAGTTATATCATACAGATTAAATCAATATTAAACACAATAAATCACATTTTACATATTATATATGATGAGTTTTATTTATAAATTAATTACCTTTACTATACGGTGTGATTACTTGATTTTAATTTGTATAATTTTGTTCACATGGCCATATATAATTTGGGCCAAAAATTACAAAAAATAAAAATAATAAATTATTTGTAATCTACACCACATTGGATAACGAAGATTCTTCCATACTAATTCATTAAATCAATCATTTGATAATTTAACAAAAGATCGCGGTATTTATCTAACATGTCGCGTCAGTCCGATATAATGTACCACATTTTCAGTATTCGGTTTCGTAAATATTGTAATTTTCAATCCTTATTTCAATATAAAAATTATGCATAGTATAATAATTAAAGATTGATTGTTATTTGAAGGTTACAGTAAAGTTCATAAGGCTAAAAATAGTACAGTACGAAGGCGTTGTACCATAAAAACATGAAGTATAGGTACTCGTATATTTCAACCAATGGCGTTGGTATGGGTGGTTGGAGGTTCAAACTTCCCTCTCCCTTATTGACAAAATAAATTAAAAATAATTATGACCTATATATATATACATCTAAACTACTCCTTAGTAAATAATATTTACCTACGTCTTTGATTTCAATGGAAAGTATTAAAGTATTGATAAATGTAAAATGAAAGCCCACGAAAATTTGAATACGAAACCAAGCAAAATATTAAGGATGAGAAGTATCTATATTTAATAATTTAACTAATCATAATGTAACACTGGTTTGCCAAAATGTGTACAATTCATAATTACTGCCTATAGGTGTATAGATGTGTATATGTAGCTTACCGAAAACTATTAGTTACAAAAAACAATAAATTCTTTAGACTTAAAATAATTATCAAAACACTAAAACCGAAGAAACAAATTAAGAGGAAAAACTAAGGTATCATGGATTATAAACTTTATAAAGAGCCAAATAATTAAATGATATGGATATGCAATGCGAAGAAAAAACACAGAAAGGATAAAAGCTAGAATTAATTGGAATCCAATTGGAAAGAGATTAAGAGATAGACCTAAAGAGCTCTAAAAAGACAATATTTAAGAGAACATGGATCAATTGGGCACACTAAATTAAAAATAATACAACCAAGATAGGGATGCATGATGCGATTCTGTATTAGCATCAAAGATTCTTGATGAATCGTAGAGCGATAGAAGAAGAACCGATGAAAGTAAGTGACTATATAATACTTTTGCATTACCATTTATATCATCAAATGTGACTGTTAATCAACAATATAGTACAATAAAAATCACTGCAAAGTGATTGTTTCAAAGAAGATTTTAAGTCATAAATTCCTAATAACTTAAAATTCCGTGCATACGCTGATTATTTAGTTAGAAAATACTTTAGTGATATATTTAAACTTTATTTATTATATATATATATAATTTATTGAAATAATGGCTTTCTACATTTAAAATTATTTTATTATAATTATATTGTACATTTGTATTATTTTATACTATTATTTTACTCGTGTAGATACATCTAATGATCCTTTATAATCTTAAAAATGTATATTAATAAATAATAACGACTGATTGTAATTTAATTGATATCAAATTTTTTAGTGCAAATAAATTATATTTCATCACATTTTAGTAATAGTTAGTAGGTTTTTTTATTTTATATTAAATTATACTCCGTTATTAAAATGTCTTATTTGTAAATTTGCAATAAAATAATAAAATATGGACGATAATATGAGTTAATGTATCTATTAATATTAATATAATATCTATGTAAATTATGTCTTAACAAGTTAATTAACTATCAATAATATATATATTATTATAAATTTATGTATAATACCTTATTTGGTGATTGCGTGAATTATCATTGTGGTTAAGTGCATAGTAGCACATAATAAGATACAAAATGACACAAAATACATATTTTTACTACCAAAAAAAAAAATACAAATAACATTTGCTATTAGTGGGACAAACTACTATCGTCCCATAAAATACATATTTGTGAACACTATCTATCAAAACATCTAACATTTGATACGTTACTGATTTCCTTTATAAATTTAGTATAAAAAAAAATTGTCAAAGTTAAATTACTAATAACAAATTACAATTAGTATTTATTAAAAAAAAATATTTGTATTTTAAGTACTTTGAAGAATACTGAAAAATAAGTTTTTAAAAATAGAATATATAAATATATAAATAAATAATTTCAAATTTAGTACTTAAATAATGTTATTTTGTATTCAAATACTTTACAGTATTTATATCGTACGAGACATTTGATGTTTATTAATAAGCCGATTAGCCAAACAAGAACAAATAGAAACATAGAACCAACCAATAGGTTTTAATGAAATTAATAATGAATCAACGAAAAAAATTTGATTTTCCCTTCTAATTTTAAACAATATGAAGAAACAAGCTCAATAAGTATGATTTTTCAAACATAAAATTTATTTTAATTAGGTGGTTCGAATAAAATAATAAATATGAAAGTTTTATTTTAAATACCTTGGCATTTCTTATAAAATAAACACAATCAAATTGATAGTTCATTCTATAAAGAACACATTTTGTACTATTTAAACGTATCAAACCTTTTTGTAATACAAGAGTACATACAAGAGTACATTAATTTTATTAACAAAACATGGAAATGTTAAAAGGTATAACACGATAATTATAGTTTACACGCTTCTACAACTTAACATGCAATCAACTAACAACTCAAACAAAATTGAAAATAGCATAATCTTAGTCACAAATTACACATCAGTACTTCTTTTGTATAAAATATTAAAGACAATTTATAAAAAGACAAAATTCAAAATAATACATATTTATGCAATGGTATCATTGAACGGTGCAATAACCAGACATCTCCGAAAATTTCTTGTTGCACCGTAATAAAAACCAGACATCGCCATTTGTACAATATCTCTGTATTTAATGATCGGATTTGTTTGATTGTTGCACCTATCGATGTAAAATATTTTTTGAAATAATAAAAGCTGAAAAAACGATTTTGCCAAAAAAAATGAAGATATCTGATTGTTGCTTCGTGGTCTTCAATTACTCTAATTATAAATTATAAACATAGATAATGAAATTGATGAGAATACAAATGAAAAGACGGCTAAGTTATTGTCAGAAATAAGATCAATAGTTCGGTTACAGAAAACTTTATCGACGATCTTTCTGCTGAAAGACATAGACGAGGAAATTGACAAATGCAATATTGAACGGAAACAACTTAAATCTCAATTAGACGTTTTCGAAAGTAAGATAACATTCGGACGTTTGAGTGGACCTAAAGCTCATTGACCCACGTGCTATTGCTACGTTTTTCATTTCATTGCTCAACTAGATTATTTTTTATTTTTCCAGGAGAAATGGCAGCGGACTGTAAAACCGACATGCACATAGCACGTCGTTGTCGGTCGATCGTGCTGACGGTAAATAAACAGTGTTTGATACAAGCTGTCCCCCCGGCGAGTCATGGGTCGTCCGTTGTTAAACGTGCATCTTATGCAGTTCGCGATCAACACTTTTCGAATGCGCAACGAGATGACCAGCTGACTGATGAGATTCTCAGGGATCTTTTCGAGTACAACCCCAAACTATACGGTTGTATAATGTTTCGAATGCGTCTACTAGAAAGGTATGACCTACGATTTGCATGTCAAATTAAAAAATAACTCTTTCGTTGTTAACGTGCATCCTCACACTCCGTTTAGCTTTAGTTCAGTCCATGTGCCCTGGTTAGTACTGGTGCACTAGAGACAATGAGAAAAAAAAATGATTTCATATTGTTTTTTATGTTGCAACTTTAACGTTGTTGGATTGTGGAACAATTTCTTAATGATATATTTGAAAAATCAATCGAATAATACAATAAACATTAGCAGTAGTGCACCCATAGACGAAATTAATTGAGGACTAGGGGAATTCAGCCTCCTAAATATGTATCTCTTCTCCATATAATAGGTACAGATACAAATTTTCAAATATTTACCAAAGTGATAGAAAAAAAATTAGCCCCCCCCCCCCCAATAATAAAACCTTAGTTACGCCTATGAGTACGTATACCTCCTATACAATATTCGCACAGTGATGAGCGATAGCACCATCTCGTCAGACGTACTGAATACAATAAACGCACGTAGAAAATGGGTCTAAGAGGACAAAAATGTGTTTTCCACCGCTTTCGTTCAAAACGCACGAGCTTAAATCGGAGTGGATGTACTACACGGTGGTCGCTATCTGTCACGATTTCAACGTAACACTCGTACACTACTTTTTATTTTATGCACTCACAAACTGTTCAAAATATACAATATAGATTACCGGAAGTACTGGGGCGACGCTCGTTTTCCAAACGGTAGAGCACTGTGCGCGGTTAGTCATATATTAGAACGATATCGCGTCGATTCGACGATACTACAATTTATTATTCATAACGTGTAGTCATCAACGAACTAAAAACCGTTTTGGAAAATACATGAAAACATATATTCGTATAGTATATGCGTTAAATCTGATTTTAATTTTTTCAGCAAAGTGTTGGAAAATGCGGTTGGCGATGCGATCAATCATACTTCAGCGATACAAAACAGGGGCACGAAAACTAACAACTGCAATGGTGGTGATAAGACAGATCCGTGGAAAAAAAACCTGGAGAGAAAAAATGAAGAAAAACCTGTACAGAACAGTTTTAGGAAGCACTTAGTTTCTTATGGAGATCGGAAATCTACTGGAAAATTTAAATCATACGTTGTAGCGTCTAAATCGTGGAATTTTTAACCGTAATGCTTACGGAAAAATAATTTTACTATAATATTTTTACCACGATTTAAAATGTTACATAATGTTTTGTGCATGTAAATTAACATATTGCTATTTTTTCAATATTTTTCACATTTTTATGTGTAATACTAAATTAAGTAAAGTGTCTAATATAAATTCATTACTAATTTTTGTGTTTTCACTCCGTTTTCAACGATTATACTCCGTAGAACAAATAAATGCTTCGTCCTGATAAAATTGCTTAAAAATTAATTTTTAATTTACTAAATTAATAGAAATTGAATCTTTGGAATTCAAATGCTACAAAAATATTTATAGATACATTATAAAATAAAAACAATGAGCAACTTATCTCTTATTAGATAAAAAGCTTCACATTTTTAAAATTAATGCTACATTTTTAGCATTTAGTATTCTTGACTACAGGTTAAGTCGTTACAAAAATATGTCATTATACAAATGTATTCTTACTAACAAAAAGCTGTATTATTTTATGCATGACGTTAATAACTATACTGTATTAGTAAAGGTAGTCATGACAATATTTTGTATAAATAGGAACGAATCCCGGTACAATGGGCATGTACCTTTTTCGCCAAAAATTCGGTTCTTTGATTTACGCACAGCCCTATATCACCAAAAACGAAAAAGGTATGGTTCCCGTTTCCGCCAAAATTTATTTTTGTGATAAGACATTTGGGAACCATGTACAATTGTTACATATTTTTTCATTATATATTTAATACAAGTAGATAATAATAATATACTAGTCAAATATAGGATCAATTATATTAGAGTTTTTAAAGTATTACATAACTTCATATTATAATATGTATATTCTATTTAACTATTTATAAAATAAAACACTAGGATAGGTCAAATATTATCTCGATAGAGTCTTGAAAAAATACATATGATCATAAATAAATAATTAAATAAATATATTTATTTTATTCGTAGATAAAAAACGTACGTTTCGTTGTAAGTATTACTTTTTCTTTTTTCAAAAATATTGACCCGACAATTTTTCATAAAACATCTCCACCGAGTTACATTTGTTTGTGACGTATAACCATAAACATATTTAAACCCATCAAAAATCAACATTGTTTTACCTCTTTTACTTACAACAAATTTCATATTAAGAACGGTAAGTAAGTAAGAACGTTTGCGTTCTAGTGACAAAAAGAACAAATACTGAATGGAAATATAAGAATTTAACATTTGTCAGATAATTATTGTGAGCGAATTATAAATAAACTATGATACAGTATATCGAACAGTGTACTGTTATTATCGACGATTATCAGTGTATACATTAGTAATCTAATGTATTTTATACTTACCACAACAAATATTCAATATTGCTTAAAAATTAAAACCAATGGTTTCCAAACTTCTTTGGTGGAAATGGCTTTTGGCGGAAACGGGAATCGTAGCTTTTTCGTTTTTGGCGGAAAATGGCTATGGCGGAAATGGGAAACTCCCGGCACAATGTGTGAGTGTCATAGTATAATATATTAAAGCGGACACGGACGTTTTGACGCGGCCGTTTTGGCGCCGCAACTTAAAAAAATTGTACATTTGACAAATTTATATGGGACACCCTATATACATAAAATATAAATAATATGAGTATTAAATAAAATTGTATTTTGTCCCAAGTTATCAAAATAAATATAACTCCTATCTTTTTTCTAAGACAATTTATAAACGACCGGTTTGGTGCTACGGGTACGCGATGTGCGAATATACAAATAAATCTAATTAATCTTAATTAGTTAGATAGTACGTCAAATTAGATAACTATACAATAACTAACAATATAAAATAATAAAATTCAATACTATTATTATTATATTAAAATACTACGCTGAATGCCTTTTCACAATTCAAATTGTGATTTGAAAACCTGCGATAAAAGAATTTTTAAATTAGTTACGAGTTATCAAAAAACAAATATATTATTATATTTAAAAGGCCTTGCAAAAAATGTTTCTTTAAAATAACTGTAAATTTAATTTAGAATATTTTGTGTGTTATATATTATATATTATACTCCTATATTATGCCTTATTAGGATCTACAAAATACAATTTTTTTTATAAATATGAATGTATATTTTTTTTTATGGTTTTTTAATCTATAAATAAAGTTATTTTTATTTATTATGACTTATTATTTATTTTTACATATACAGTGACTTAACACATACAATTTTTTAAAGTTGCAGCGCCAAAACGTCCTAGACCGATATTAAAGACCATAGCTCAAACATAAAATTAAAATATAATAATTAAACGATTTCAATTTAAAAACCTGAGATTAGTTTCAGAAAAAAAATCATATATCAGTATAACTTTTTTACTTTGATTTAATTAATTTAATAATTACAGTTATAATTATTATAACATGTATGTACTCGTATGTATATGTTAATATGATTATTCAGTTCATGTATCTAGTTCTTGCGGCTAATACATCAAGGCATTGAAGTAACTAATATTGTTTAACCGAAATTCATATAAATAATATTTATTAGGATAATTTAGCAAATTTATTTGAATTAGTAATCAAAATTTAATTTTCTTACAATTTTAAAAAAATTTTCAAGCTTTAAGTATTAATAATCTATGAACAAATCTATAAACAGTCCACTTCTCATAAAATTGCCAATAACACCGATCATCCCAGCAGAAATTAAAAATCAAATAAATAAATCACCAACTAATAGATCTCCAGGATACGACTTAATAACGAACTAAATCTTAAAGCAGTTCTCACGTAAATCCATAATTTTTCTCAAATTAAAATACAATGCAATGTTAAGACTATTGTACTTCCCCCCAATATGGAAATATTTTATCATAAAATGATACCTAAACCGGACAAACCTAAACATGTTGGAAACTCATATAGACCCATTAGCCTTGAACCCACATGCGAAAAAATTATTCGAAAAACTTATCTTAAAAAGACTAAATCTGATTGCTTCGGAAGAAAAAAATAATACCGGATACCCAGTTTGGATTTCGATTCTATTATTCCACAATTCACCAGATCTATAGGTTAACGGATTATAACTCAACTTTACTAGAAACACAAAAGTACTGCCCGGGTGCATTCCTCAATATGGGACAAACATTTGATAGAATATGGCACGATGGTCTATTATTTAAACTAAAGTCATTCTTACCCGCACCTTATTATTTAATTATTTAATAATTAAATCATATCCAGAAGAAAGATTTTTTTCTGTAAGAATTGGTAGCTCAATGTTTCAATGTCGGCTTATTATATTATGAAAGCAGATGTTCCCCAGGGTAGCGTTTCATCACCCTTACTCTACAATATATTTACCCATGACATTCCAAAAATTACAAATGCCATTCTAGCTACATACGCTGATAAAACAGCAATCTTATCGTCAAATCGCAACACAATTTGTACAAAATCACCTTAATCTTATCTCATCATGGACTAAGCAATAGAAAATAAAGATAAACAAAACAAAATCAATACATAAATATTTATGTTAAATATATTAACTAATTCAGAGGTAGTGATGATCAAAACAAGACCAAGACCAAGACTTTCAAAAACTTGGTCTTGCGCAAGATTCTTGCAAGACTCTTGTTATTTTCACAAAATATAAAAAAAAACTAAATATCAACCTGTTATAGTTGTGAAGGTTTTTTGCTATGACTTCTAAGATGAAACTTAAGTCTAATATATTATATAGTATATTAATAATATAAAATAATCAAACACTTTATTTTTTATTATAGGTACTCGTTTAAAAAATTGCATTTTAAAATATTAAGTTTATATTATTTTACTTGTATTTGTATTTGATGAATCAATTTACCAGCATAATTAACTTTGTAAGTTCCTATTACATCGTCTAACTCATTCACACTCTCGCTTTGGTCCATTACATCTTCAATGTCATTAATTTTAAAGGTACAATAATAACAACTAATAAGGTGTATTACCAACAGACTACAAGTTTACGATGGTAATGAAATAATATGCTGTATAAGACACTAGTTTAAGTACACAATGTCTAATACGGAAAAATCACAACTTACGAACGAAAATAAAAACGTACTTCCAATCAAAATGATATCTACCGTAGTCCGTAATGACTTCCAGCAATTATTAGAATATTCGATTCAAATAAGAGGTGTATGGACATAAGTCATAAATTATTCTATGAGCAAGACAACTTTCGACGTTTTCATCGATTTTGGGGAAAAAAAATAATTTTTCAGTAATTGCTAAGTATGTGACAACTATATTATGTTATTTTTTAATACTAATTCCAATTATTTCTAATAATTTTTTCAATAATTCGTCATTTCCTTGAATACTGATCGAATTTAATAACAATAAAAATAATTACTTATTATTTTCATTATAAATTATTAGTTAATGAAATCTAGATAACTAAGTGTTTTCGGAGAAAAAAAAAATTTGCAAGACTGTATGAGTCTTGCAGTGGTGATCTTGTTTTTTCTTGGTCTTGCAGCTTCGGTATTGGTTTGGTCTTGCTAGACTAGTACCGTTTTGGTCTTGGTATTGGAGCAAAAGTCTTGCGAGACTACAAGACCAAGACCAATTTTGATTATCACTATTTAGAGGTGCTACTAATGAGTAGTTTCATCAAAAAAGTACCCATGTAATGAATAGATCTTATAAATTCAAAAGATTTACTTACTGTACATATAATATATATAAGTATATATTATAAATTAACTATTTCACCAATAAAAAAAAATTAATAAAATAAAGTATTAATATTTATAGGCTTATAAATATTTAATTACAAAAATATTGCACATTTAGCTGCATTTTATTGATTTTTATCGAAATTTAAAAATACAAACATTTTTTCATAAAAAAAATATAATTTAATATTTACTAACGATTTACAAGAACAGAGAACAAAATTGACTATGGTATAAGCCTGAGACTTAAGAACCTGTTTCAACTAGCGTATTCTAGCACAGAGTAAGAATCAAACACAAAACGACTTGTTAACAATAAATATTATAATAGTGAAGGTGAAATTCTTTATAGTTTGATTTCTACACTAAATCAAATACAGGTTTTTTTTTATAAAAATTCCGTTTCTAATCTTTTCTTAATTGTTATTAAACTGTCAATAAAAATTCGGATTTCTGTACGCTCTATAAATAAGTTAATAATATTGAAACTAACTCGCAGGATGAATAAATTCAATTATTTTCCATCCAGTGAGATTAAAATATTAAGGGTGTATATTCATAATTTATATTTAATATCATAAAATATACTCATATGAGCACTACCTATTAAAATCTGCACACATTCGACAATGACACATTCTGAATAATTTTTAAAGACATTTATTATTCTATGAAATTTATCTATGAAAATTAGGATGGACAGCGAATATAATGCCGAATAACAAACGAAACTTGTAGATTGACATAAAGATCCACAGATTATGTCAATCCAAAAGTTTTATTTATTTATTTATTTCATCTATGGAACTTAATCAGTGAGGATAACTTAAAATTTAAGTATACGCAAACAGTAAAGTTAACGGGAGGAATATGTAAGTGGTTTCTAGAATGTCTCGATGTACATATACACAAACGATACATTTTTCACTATCAACACGTACATCGAATTCAATAGTCAACGTAAGTTAAATATAAAAGTGTATGCGAGTGTATGAGTGTATGCATACATAAAGAAAGAAATATATATACAATATATACTGTTGGCGCGAATATTGAATGACATTTATTTTTGTATTTTATGTGGAATTCAAATAGATTCAGTATTAAAGCCATTCATTAATGCATTCATAAAAAATTATTAACCCAAAATATCCACATGTGACGCGATGTGTTGTTGTTACGTTACCATAGTTATTATACATCAACAATAAAATGAATACGGCAATAGTGGTTACATATGTTTTATTTTTACAAAGCATTTGTAGTTTATTAGATAAATTATAATTTTTATCTCAGTTAATATTTTTAAGCTAGGTATATTTTTTGTATTTTTATTATTATTATGACCGACATTCGACAGAATTTTATTATAAAAACGGCTGGTATATAACATATATTCATATATATATATATTTCTGTAGTTGAATTCTAAATAATTGTATTATACTTTGGTGATCTACAGGAAATTATTTTGGACTTGATCCTGTTGATGAAAATAATATTTTAAAATCAGGCATTGAGTATTTAAATGCTTTTTTAAACTCCTCTAATTGTTGTACATTATACGTGAGAAGCACAGACTCTAATACACTGGAGGCAAATGACAAAATCGTGAGTAAAAACAAAATATATCGTAAACAGTACATTCAACATAAATATTGATATTATTAATGGGTTACAATATGACTAATATTTACTATTATTTGACTTTTATGAATCTAAAAACAACAGCAAATATGTAACTGTACAAAATAAATATATTCCTTATTTATAGGTTTTGCAAAAGGAACAAAACAAAAAAGTTATAGTATTTTATAAAACTCGCCCAGAAAGTATAACAGAACATAATTTACACTTAATTATTTGCGTATATTCTATGCTGGAATCTCCAACAGAAGCACTTTATCATAGCTTACATTATATATACACGCCATCACTTTTAAAAGTAATTTTACATCTTTATTAAAAAATTAAAATACAATATTATGTTGATGTGAAATTTACCCATATTGGGTTCTTAGTATGAATTAATAGTTAAGTTACTATTATGATATAATTAGGATACAGAATCAGAAATAAAACTAGACCCGAAATTACAATGCCTTATTTCAGACCTAGAGATGGGCTTAAAAACTACTATTTTTAAATCTTCCTTTAATCAAACAAATAATTCAATAGAATCACATTTAGGAGGTAAGTAATTGTTTTATGAATAAGAAATATACATAAATCATATTCATTGTAAATGAAACTATTTGTTTTGTAGCTATTATAGATATTGAAGATGAAGCAGAATATTGGACTGTTGTAAAAAAACATACAAATAATAAATCAGAATCAATAGCTGCTGAGAAAATATGTTCTTTATTTTCACCAGTAATAAAGCAATTTAGGTACTTACAATTTTAGCTGATTTATTAATTCATATTTTATTTATATAATGTTTACTTTTTAAAAATACATAAATTATAATGGATTTTTCAGAGAATCATCTATTCAAGACATTGAAGAATGTTTAGAAAATATACATAATTGTCTGGATGACATTTGGAAAATTGAAGAAATTAAATATTCTCAGGCGAGAATGGAACACTTATTTGAAGTTATAGGGAATAATATAATAAAGCTAATTCAACAAAAAACTATCGATATGAATATATGGTCAAGTGATTATTATGAAAATATTGATATGTTAAAAATGTGTAAAATAATATGTAGTAAATGGATTAAAATATGTGAAGAACTTACTATACTCTACTGGCCCAATTACTCATACCATAAATGGATTGGTTCAAAATACTTACCAGAAAATGTAATTTCATTTTCCAATCACGTTGAAGAAGTTTGTACAATTATTTATTATCTTGCATACATATAAACACGAGAAATATTTTTAAACGGGTTTATTTTAGATAATATCCATATTATGTGTGAACTATCAAATGATAAAACTATTAACAACTAACGAACAAGAAAAATTAAGAACAACAGATAATTTGAAACCGTTTACCGGTAAACATTTATAATTAATTAAGAGCTATTAGTTAAATAACTATAACCTATTTATAGAAACAAGTAGCCTTTATGTATAATTATATTTTAAGAATTCAAATATGTGAGTCAATTGAATATTTACACTAAAGCGATGTGGACAACTGCTGTAGAAAAATTTGAACAAAAATTACAACCAGCCGAAGATTTAATAGTTGGGAAACTTCGAAACTTAATTGATCGTAAAAAAAATAATACCGTAGAAGTAAGAAATGCATTGTCATAGTACAGTAATATGTTATAAAGAATATTTTTATTTTTTAATAGTTGATTTATGAATTTGTTCGCTATCAAGAAATAATAGAAAGACCCAGCATTTATACACAACTCAAAGGGGAACTGGAAAATTTCTTAAATTGCGTAAAACAAATGATTAATGCTATTGAAGATGAAACTGATGGTGATCAAGTCAAAAAATCCAGTGTATTAGAATTAGCTGGTTTAGAACCAATTGTAAGAAAATTGTACTCGTTAAAACAACAGGAAGCTAAGGTATTACGATATAATAAATAACTCATGAATATTGTTTACTACTCTGTATGTGTGGTGTTTAATTATGTTAATAACATTCAAACTTGGTTTTAGCTGAACAGTGTAGAAAAAGTAAGCGATCGCATTATTTTTCATTTAAATGATTATCACCTACTGAAAGATGAAATAAAATTTAAAAAAAAAAATCATTAACAATTTGCTCACGGAATCTTATAATGATTGGCTAAAAGATAGAAGATCTGCCATTATAAATAAAAGTTTTAGGTGGGTACAATAAATATTACAAATATTATGCATTGTTGATTTATAATTTGTAATAATAACATCATGTACGATCTATATAATAGGACGTAGGTAATAATAATGATTAATTCAATAGTCTTTATACACTAAAACTAAGATTGGTCATGAAACAATATTGAAAATATTTCAAATTAGATTTTAATTATTATATGCAGTTATTAACAACAAAGTAATATTATTTTAAACACCTGAATAAATCTAGTGAATTTTTGAAAATAATAATAACAAAAAAAAAAACACTAAAATTAATAGAAGTTGACAAACTAAGTAAAAACTAAATATGAGAAACATAAATAAGAAAATAATTTCATCTCATATAATATAATTATTATTTAAAAACTATAACGGTGCCCTATGCCCGTATTCAAACAATTTATTATACATTTAGGAGTTTTGTAACACAGTTATTAGTACAAATAAGACGAATAAAAATGATAATTAACTGTTAAATAACTTATAAATTGTGTTCCTTAAAAATATTATATATATATATATATGCATATTAAAATGTATGCCATCATCCTAAGTAAATTACTTTAGCGCTTAAACTTCTACACTAAAGTAACTTCTTAAAATTTATAAAAAAATATAATACACTTAATTAATTTTAGGTTAAATACAGATGAGCCCGTAATTTACTTTCAATCTGACAAATTGATGAAAGTAAATTTTAATCCAGAAATAGAATTATTAATAAGAGAAGTAAAAATGCTAAAAATTCTTGGCTATAAAATTCCATCTGAGATAGAAAATGTATCGGAAACAGGAAGCAAATTTTTACGGCAAGCTAAATCTCTCGAACAAGTATATATTTAATTTTCAGTATTTGTTGTAAACACGATTATTTGAAAAATCGTCATTCTGTATTTTAGATTGCTTCATTTCATAATACAATAGGAGACCGAATGATTCCTTCTCAAAGACCTATGATGTTGTCATCAGCGATTGATTTATTAAACATAGTCAAAAGACAAAAATCTGTAACATGGACCGATATTCAATCCATTGATAATTATATACTTGAAATGCGAAATCTCATGGAAAAGATATCACTTGAAAATCAAACATTAGCTAATTACCATCAAGCAATTTCTAATAAGGTAAAATACGTATTAGAAACATAATTTTTCTATTTTATGAGTATATAGTAAAATAATTTAATATAATAATAAAAACCTAGGTTAAGTAGCAATATTTAATTAAAATGTATTTAAAAATTAATTATTTTTATTCTTTTATTGTTTGGTTTTATTTTATTTCTTTTTTTTTAGTTTTTTTTTTTTTTTTACTTCCTTTTATTATATTATAATAATATTCATTATAACTAACTTTAATTAATTGTCGAAACTAATTGTATCACAAAGTTTTCATTAAAAAACAAGGGGAAAAAAAAAGTAGCAAAATTGAAAATATGTTTCAGATAATAAATCTAATGGATATAGATATTTTACAAGAACAACATCTATGGAAACAGTCATTAAAAAGTATCAGAGATATTGTAAGACAAGTTGAAGAAAAAGTAAAATATTGATTACATTAAGTTTAATTCGTAATTTCATCGTATCGAACCTAATACCAATTGTTATTTATTGTTGTTTAAAAGTTCTTGAACTGTGAAGCATGGAAAACACATTTAGATTATCAGATATATAAAGTCTTAAACCACAGGTATCAAATAGGATTGGAAGCATTAAATCAACATTTACCTGATTTTAGAATAGAAATCGTTTACAGGTAATTGCGGTTAATAAATATTATATTTTTGAATGATTAATTACTTCAATGTTTAAACAATCACTGAAATATTTTAGACAACGGCAACTCAAGTTTAACCCTCCAATGGAAGAAATACGAATGAAATATTTTTCTCTTCTTAAAAAGTTTATATCTGTACCAATAGTTTTTCGTGGTATCATGGATTCATCTGATTCCAAATTTACAACAATTGTGGACCGGTATTTAAGTATAAAAATATTATTATTTAACTGATTGAATAATATTATTGTTATTTTTTTAAAGAAATGCTCCTAAATTTACGAAATTATTCTTAAGAGCTGAAAATTTATTTGAAAGATTAGAAGATATTTTAAAAGAGTGGGAAGGTAGAGTAGTACTTGGATCAATCGATATGGAGAATATGATCCAAGAAACCATTAAAACGGCACACGACTGGGAGATCAATTTTAGATCATCAAAATCGTGGGGTCAACAAATAGCAAAATTTAACTGGTTGATATTTCTTTATGAACATAAAAAAATTTAAGGGAAATGTTAATTAATTATAAATCATTTACATGATTGTAGTGCCGAGTTAAATGTTGAATGTTTCATTGTAAGTACAGCTGCTGTACGTTTAGAATTGGAGATACATAATCGCCGTTATTGGGATACATTGTCCACTTTGTTACTTTCTTCGATTTTATTTGATATAGCTAATTTAAATAAATTTGTCGAAGAATCCACCAATGCATTACAACATCAATCTTCTTCGGCAAAACAAATAAATAGAAACCATAAAAATATTATTGATGCCTCAATTGAAGTAAACAAATACTTAATAATTTATTTCAATTAAAAACTCAATTTCTTTTTTTTTTTTTAAGATGGATAATTTAGTTTTGGAAATGATAAAGAAATATAAGGTTTTATCAAATTGGACGAATGAAAAAATAGAAAAAATGAATAAAGTATTGTCTGATTGGGAAAATTTTAAAAATATGTTAGAAGATCATCAAATGGTCGTAGGACAGCAGATAGAAACAATGAAAAACAATTTAATATCGGAGATGCAAAGAGTTCTAAACATGTTTGAAACATTTAATTCAAGATGGCAACAATATAAACCAAAAGGATATAATGATGAAAATAATTTAAAATTTAAAAAAATCATAGATTTTTTAAAAAATAGTCGCACTGAATGGAATGCTTTAAAAGAACAGAAAGAAAAAATTGTGTAAGCTCAATACGTAATAGTTAACTAATTATTTAAATTAAATTAAGATACATTCATTCGTGTTTCAATTAGTGATTAATATAATTATAATTATAAATCTAATTTCTATATTATAGAAATGAATATAAAGATGCTTACATTGATATACCAGACTTCAGTACATATGACTCGATTGAAAATGAAATGGAACATTTGGAACACTTATGGGGCTTATATGATGAGTTTAATTCAGGTTAAAAACCATAATTATTTTATTATAATATTTATATACTCTTTTATAATACACAATTAAGTTTATTATTTTAGATTATTATTATATTAGATTTATTATTTTTAGATTTGCATAGCATCGGACAAGAAGAATGGATTGGATTTCGTAGTAAAGCTTACAAAAAAATTTATGGATTTTATTTTACAATGGCAAGAAAAACTTAAAAAGACGCCAACCTCTCCGCTAGTTATTAAAATACATAATGAATTAGAAACATTAAAAGTAATTAATCTCATAATACTACTTTTTAATATTAGAAATTTCTATAAATATATGTTTTAGGCTTTTTCGCTTTGTATTAAATATGTTGAAGGAGAACATTTTACTGAAAAGCATTGGATCGAATTGTTTTCTATAATTGGAGTTCCATATAAACATATTGAACAATTAAAATTTGAAGATTTCATATTAGTTAAAGAGAATATTCAAGAAAAATTAACTGTTATACAAGTATAAAAAAAAAAAAAAAAAAAAAAAAAAAAAAGTAGAATTCTAAAAATAAAAATATGTGTTGAAGGAATTAAATACAAAAGCCGCTAGCGAAATTACAATAAGACAAGCACTATCCGAATTAGATATGTGGGAATTTGAAACATATTTCTCAACACTTAAATATATTGACTCAAAAGGACAAAATATTCAGATTATTGGCGATTTTAAAACTATATTTAATTCAGTAAGATGTATAATAGTTAATTTAATTAACCATGCGAATGATATTAAAAATATTAACTTTAATAACAATTCAACTTATTTTTCACTACATTAAATAAAACATTAAATACAATTACTTGTAAAATAAAAAATATTATTAAAATATATATTTTTACAACAGTAATTTATTTTATTTTGTTTAAAACAGATCGGTGAAAAACAATGTTTGTTACAATCTATTAAGAATACTTCAAATGATGAACAATTTCTAGAAAAGTCGAATGCGTGGGAAGGTAAATTAATAGAGCTTGATACATATCTAAGGCAATTTTCTCAAGTGCAAAGAAAGTAAGTTATTTAGCATTTTTACATAAAAATATTACATATTAACATTTTATTTATAATGGTAGGTGGTTATATTTAGACCCAATATTCGGCAGTGGCACATTGAAAATTGATAAAGAAGTCAAAATTAGATTTGATAGAGTGGATCGAGATTTTAAGTATATATTACAACAATCAATAGATTCAAAAGTTTTACAATTTTTAAAAATCAGTAACATTAAAAATTTGTTAGAATCTATGCTTAATTTATTAGCAACGACGAAAAAAAGCTTAAACAATTTTCTTGAGGTTAACTTGTTTGTTATAATTACTATAGATTTATTATTATTAGATACTATTACTAAATTATACAATATAATACATAGAATAAACGGAAGATTTTTCCAAGATTTTACTTTCTCAGTGATGAAGATCTATTAGAAATGATCGGACAGACAAAAAAAACATCTGTTGTGCAAGCTCATCTCAAAAAACTATTTAGTGGTGTACAAAACGTTCAGTTCAATAAATCAGGAAATATAATCGCTATAGAATCGCCTCAAAATGAAATCGTAATCCTTGATAAGCCTGTACAAGTTTCCAACCAAATCGAGGTACCTGATTTTTAAAATATTTTGCATAACAGATTGATATGTGTTTATACTTTATACAAAGTAAAATTAATTTTTCTGGACACATAAAATATGAATTTCTTTACGTTTTTGCAGGAGTGGCTTCAATTACTTGTTTTAGAAATCACTAATACATTGAAAATATATTTTATGAAATGTCTAAAAGAACCAGATCCACTGAAATATCCATCACAGATTTTATGTATGGTAAATGAAGTCCTCTTCAGTTCTAGGTGTGAAGAAGCGATAAAAAAACAGCAATTACAACAATTACAAAAGGCTCTTAAGGTAATCAAAATTCATAGTATACCACTAAGATAGTTTTGTAAATATTGTAAATCGAGATTTTTATAATTTAAAATAATAATAAATTATGCTACGAATCAAGAATTAAAAAGTATAATAAAGTATAATAAAAAAAAAATATATTGGATTTTTAAAAAGTTATTCATAAAATTATAATTATATAACATTTTATAATTGATTCCAGAGTCAATTGGATACATATACAGAATTAAATATCGAAAGTACTTTAAATGGAGAAAATGTGTTACATTTAAAAATAAAAGGTCTAATATTAGATACAATACACCATCTTAATGTAGTGGATGAACTTATTAATTCACGAGTATCTTCCGTTCATGATTGGGAATGGCAAAAAACGAATAAGGTAATAATAAATTGGTAAATAACATTAACGTTAAAATTAAAAAACGTGTGAAATAATATATTTTACCTTAAAAGATTCTATTCGGATTCTGAAGGAGAAATAAGTATTAAAATGGTCGACTCAGAATTTCAGTATTCATATGAATACCAAGGAATATCACCAAAACTAGTTCACACGCCTCTCACTGATAATTGTTATTTAACACTTACTCAGGTAAAAATTTAATGTTTTTTTTCACAACTAAACACTTTAATTATCGATATGGTTGTAACTAATAGGCAATGAGTATGGGATTTGGAGGAAATCCTTATGGGCCAGCTGGTACTGGAAAAACAGAATCGGTCAAAGCCCTAGGATATCTTTTTGGTCGTCAAGTGTTAGTGTTTAACTGCGATGAAGGTATAGACATTAAATCATTAACACGAATATTAATTGGGTTGGCAAGATGTGGAGCTTGGGGATGCTTTGATGAGTTTAATCGCTTGGAAGATTCTACGTTATCAATGATATCAACCAGAATACATCCAATACAAGAAGCGATTAAAAACCAAGAAACTAGTTTTATTTTAGAAAATCAAAAGGTTAGATCGCCCAATTTTTCTTACCAATTTTATATTATTTAGTCTGAGATAGACTCGAATTCCATTTTCTTAAAAAACTATAGTTATTTATTTATTTATTTCAGATCAATTTGAATTTGAATGCTGGAATATTCGTCACATTAAATCCAGCAGGGCAAGAATATGGAGGTAGAAATAAATTACCCGACAATCTAAAGCAACTTTTTAGGCCCGTGGTCATGAGTAAACCAGACCAAACTTTAATAACCAACGTAACACTACACGCTGAAGGATTTAAACACCCGAAAACAATAGCAAAAAAACTTGTCGAAACATTCGACTCTGCCAGGTAAACTTCATTCGATTATTAAAAATAATACATTTTCATTATAAGAGTAATTATTTAAGGCAATTATTAAGTAATCAACAACATTACGATTGGGGTTTACGAGCTTTAAAAACGGTGATTGGTTTTTGTGGTACAATTTTAAAAGCTTCAGCAACTTCAAAATCGCTGGTCGAAGAATGTTCAGTAGCCGTACAGGCACTGGAATTAAATACAATATCAAAATTAACATTTGACGACAGTGTGCTATTCAAGTCGCTCGTCTCAGATATATTTCCAGAAGTACAAATTACAAATAGTCCATTAATACATGATACATTAACTCAAAAAATACGAAGAGCAGCAGAAGATATGGGATTACAAATTAATCAGAGACAGGTAAATTTTATTTAAAACTCTGGTTAACTAAGATCACATATTATATACAACATATATTTGTATTTTCTTCAGGAACAAAAATGTGTTGAACTTTATGAACAACTTCAACAACGTATGGGCGTAGTGGTGATGGGTCCACCATCGACAGGAAAAACCACAATTATTCAACTATTATCACGAGTAATAAGATTTAAATCATATTATAATTGATTTATTTGTAATATCATTTGTATGTTAACTATACTATTTTAAGGCTTTAGCTACGAATAACAATATAAAAATACATAAAATAAACCCAAAAGCTCAAACACGATCACAACTTTTAGGAAAAGTTGATTTAGACACACGACAGTGGATTGATGGCATCATCAGTAAAGCTGCTCAACAAGCTTATTCTGAAAATACTGGTAAAATTAATTCATACATTACAATACAATTATTTTAAACTTAAATTGTTTTGAATCTGATAATGTACTTAACTAAATTATATTAAGAGCGTGAAAATTATTAACATAATAATACTGATTCGAATTTACTTCATAATTGAGTTGAATTAAACTTATATTTTAAATACTTATATTTATAGATATAATTTCATGGATAATATTTGATGGAGATGTAGACCCTGAATGGATAGAATCACTCAATTCAGTTCTAGACGACAATAGACTACTAACATTACCGTCTGGTTGGAGAATACAATTTGGGAGCAACATAAACTTTATTTTTGAAACTCATTCTCTAAGACACGCATCTCCTGCAACTGTATCAAGAATGGGCATTATTCTTCTGAGGTATTACGACTCAAATTAAATTTTAATTCCAGCTGAACCAAAATTTTATAATTTTCTTTTATATAAAGTGAAGAAGACGTAAACATAAAAAATGTTATCGATTCCTGGATAAATATGTTTCCTAAGTGTAATGTAATAAAAGAATATGAAGTCCAGTTATATAAAGGTAAATATAACTTAATATTATTTTTTTTAAACAAACCAAAACTAATAAACTATTTTAAAGCAATCAAATGGGTGGAAATGAACAGCCAATATGTATGTCCATGTTCTACTATATCGACAGTAAAAAATATTTTACATATTTTACAAGGTGTTGAATCAAAATCACATTTTGTTGTCTGTCTAATAAATGGATTAGGAGCAAATTTTAACTCTTCTCAGAGAGATAAATTTTCGAAAATGGTAAAACACCTTTATAGATAAAAATAATACAGGAAACTTATTGGAATGTTAATAAAAGGTTTTCGAAATATTTGAAGAATATATGCCGGAAATCAATGCAAAATATTTTTATTATAATCAAACAACAGATAATATAGAAACATACAATTTACTTGATACAGATAATTTTGATTTATTTGAGTATAAAATCGGTGACTTAATCGAAACACCAAGAATTTCACACGCTACTGATATTTTAATAAAATGGATACAACAAAGCACATCAATATTTGTAATAGGGCCTTCGGCATCTGGCAAAAGGTTTGAAATTTTACGACAATTCTATAATTATAATATGCTAATAACGGTAATAATAATATATTATTTTTAGCAAGACGATTTTAAAATGTACTAATCTAATAAGGGGAATTGAATGCGTTACAATTCACTGTAGTGCTCATACATCACCTGAACAGGTTTTATTAAAAATATCACAGGTATTTCAATAATCAAAGCAGTTATAAATATTATATGTTAGTTAATATGATCCGCTATGAATCTTAATAGTATGAAAGAAACCATGAAGGGATTTCAATTTACATTATATGGCAGCACATATAAATATACATTATAGAAATGAATAAACTATTGGTTATGATTCATTATATTCATATAATTCATTATAACCCTATGGTTACAATATATATTTAAAAAAAATATATATCTTAAACTCACATAATATTATGATCGAGTTAATTACAATAATTAAAAGTATACTATATTGTTTATAATATATTATATTTTAGATTTGTATGGTAGTTTCTAACAACAAAGGTAGAGTTTATCGTCCCAGAAATTCAGAAAAGTTAATTTTACATTTTAAAAACTTGAATCATGTCAAACCAGATAAATGGGGAACTATACATTTAGCTGCATTTATTCAACAAGTGAGAATATGACTATTTAAATTAATTATTCGATATGAAAATGTTACCATTTAAAGCAATAAACACTAAATTAATCAACGTTATTATTTTAATAATAAATGTTTCAGTTGATTTTTTTCCGTGGGTTTTATGAGCCTACTACTTTGGAATGGATGGGAATAGAAAATAATATTGTAATCATTAATAGTTTAACTTCAGTAGACAGAATTAATCCAAGAATGGTTTCAGCAAGTAACATTTTATACATTGAGTAAATAAAAAAAGTAAGACTAGCTAATTTACAAATTAATAATATATGTTTAAATGATTTATTAGAAATCCACAAAAATATGAACTTATAAAGATTTGCTTGGAATATTTAAGAACTACTATAGAAAAAAAATCAGAAATTGCTAATGCAATTGTAGATTTATTAGTAAAGGTATAGTATTATAATTTATTATGCTTGTACAAAAATGTCAAATGACTAATAAGTAAGCAAAACTATACCTAATTATCATCCATTTTTAAGACAAGGGAAATGCTTACATCTGTGCAAATGCCTCATTATACATTCACAAACCATATTTTAATTGAACTGTGTCAGAATTTAAGTAGATATCAAATTAACAACGAAAATAACGCAGCTAAGGTAAACAACTTTTTTTTTATGGGATTTATAATTAACAACATTTTATTTTAGGTATTGTTTTTTGAAGCAAACCACATTTTTAATGACAGATTAGTGAAATACGAAGATAAGAAAAAATTCGAAGGAATAATTCAAAAGATTTACTCAGATTATCATTTGAATTTTCAATATGAAGGTGATAAAAAATATAATGTTATATATATATAAGCACTAAGGACCATAAATTATATCTAAATTTCTAAATTATACCTAAAAAATGTTAAATTTAATTCAATATGATAAAGTTTAATGTAGTAAATAAAATTTTCGAAAAACATAGTTCATTAAAAATAATCAAGTATAAATTATAAACATACATTCATAATCTATAAATCGTCTGTAAATACTCGCAAAACTAAGGTCAGGCCAACTAAGCCATGGTTTAGAATAATTTCAGAGTTGAAATCTACACAAAAATAAAATTAACGTTTTATATTAATATTTGTAATTCACTATCTCCGATTACGATGACATGATCCTCTCCAGAGTAGATTGAGTACTAACATATTTAACGAGGACTTTAAAGGGTTCTGTGTAACGATGATAACCCGTCTCTAGTTATTTTATGGACGCTAAATCCCCCCAGAGTGCAATCACCGATATGACACCATTAAATAAATAATTATAAAATTAAACAGACAACATATGCATTGATTTATATTCAACTTACAACAATAATGACTCTGTTAAAATACACATTTTAGTGCACCTAAAGATATTTTTATTAAAATGGGAAAAAAATTGACTACAAACATAGGGAAATAGCAGCCATCGAAATATTTACTTTTGATGATAACATCTATGCAAATAATTTTATTTTTTTTTTGGTTAAATTTAATTTTCTTGGGGGTTATTAATTTTACATAATACATTTGAAATTTCTTATTTTGCTGATGTCTGTATAAAACGTAGTAATTATGATACCAATTATAATATTTTTACAATATATATTTGTTAAATTAAAAAATTTCAGACGTAATTTACATATGCGACAGAAAAATAGACCCAAGCCATATTGGTATGCTTATAAAAGTAAACATAGAAGAATGGAAAACGATTATTGAAAAGTGTATTATTACAAATGGTATATTATTACACTTATCTAATGACTACTATCATTAAACAACATCAAATATGACTTAAATCTTAAATGTTACTGATGTCTAATGATTTCACTCAGAAACCACGAATCAAGACGTTGAATTGAACACAGAATTACTATATCGCATAACAGCAGATTGCGAACGAATTTTAACGAAACCTAGAGGATGTATCTTGCTATTAGGACGTTTGGGAATAGGAAGAAACTTAGCCGTAAGAATTGTAGCATCCAGACACAATGCAACAGTTGTATCGCCTAAAATACGACCAGTTTTCAACTTAAACGCATTTAAAAATGATCTAAAAACGGTATATCACAAAAATATAACTGAAAAAATAATTTCTAAAAAAAAATGTCTAAAAATATAATTTCTTTAGATAATGCAAACATGTGGAATCGAAAATGAAGAGATTTATTATGTCGTTGAGGAATATCATATTGTAAACAAAGAAGTACTTGACATTATAAGTTGTCTTATAGTATCTGGCGAACTGATGGGACTCTACCAGAACGAAGAATTAGAGTCATTATGTTCACCGCTCAAGGATGAAATGTCCCAACAGAATTTCGATGGAACGCCAACAACATTTTTTAAACAAAGCAAGTCATGGTTGTAATGGACAATAATGTTATTGAATCATTTCTATTTTGTCAATTATGAAAATGTCTTCAATTTTTTCACATAGGAAATTTAATATAAATAGCTTTTCTGTGCCGATCAAATTAAAATAATTGTAACTGTTCGATTTCAGGAATAAAAAATAATTTACACGTAATAATGATTTTGGATTCAGAAAGTGAGTTTTTCAATAACTGTTTAGAAAATAGCCCAGCAGTGCTAGATCATAGCCATGTCATATGGAAAGATAAATTGGACGAAAAAACTATGAATACAATATCAGAAATAATTTTTAAAAAGTATATTCATTAGTGTAAAAGTTATGCTTATTTTTATTGTTTTTGTTTTGATTTCAGGAATAAAATAATAGAAAATTTTCCCTGTATCACTGAACATATATCATACTTTACCAATATCCACGAAGAAGCTGAAGCATGGATAAAAATTTGCCCAAGACGTTACATATCATTTTTACAAACATTTAGTGACTTACTATTAAACAAACAAGAATCCATTTATAAACGAATGACTCATTTAAAAGTAATATACATTTTGCAATACACATTTTATTAATGAATATTTGTCTTACTACATTAAAATGTTTTAAAGGCTGGATTGTCCAAGTTAACTGATGCTAGAAACATTGTTGCAAAATTAAAATCTGACGCCGGTGTCCAAGAAACAAAACTAGCAGAAAAACAAGAAAAAGCAAATCAAGCACTGAATATGATTTCGAGAACTATGCAAGGAGTTAATACCAAAAAAGAGCAAATGGAAAGTCTTAGAAAAGAATTTCAAATTAAAAACGACTTTTTAAATCAAAGGTACATCATAATAATGATACACGTTTACAGTTTAAATATTTTAAGCATAAAATTACAATTTTTATACTCACTCATAACGTCTTAGGTATAAGAATTAAATATAATATATAAAAACATGTTTTTATAAAACGAAACAAAATTTTAGTAGTTTGATTTCATCATTGTACCATATATGTATTTTTTATTATCAACATTATTAATTGATTTAAAGACACTGTAATTAACATTTTCCGTACGTATTTAGGAACAAAGAAATAGATCAAGAATTGGCAAAAGTAGAGCCACTGATTGAAGAAGCTCAATCAGCCGTGAGTAACATCAAATCCGAAGCATTGACAGAGATCAGATCACTGCGAGCACCACCAGAAGTAATTAGAGATATATTGGAAGGTGTACTCCGGCTGATGGGCATACAAGATACTTCATGGAATAGTATGAAGACATTCCTGGCCAAACGAGGCGTTAAGGAAGAAATTAGATTTTTTGACGCTCGCAGAATATCGGAAGCTAACAGGGATTCAGTAGAGAAGCTGCTGGAATCCAAACGCGACTCATTCGACTCGAAAAACGCAAAAAGAGCATCCGCCGCAGCCGCTCCGCTGGCTTCTTGGGTAGTAGCAAATGTCGCATATTCACACATATTGCACAAAATAAAACCGTTGGAAACCGAACACGCTTCATTAAAATCGTAATTATTGATTGAATTTTCGACTGAGTGTAAATTATTTTATTTTATTTATCCATTGGACTTCCGTCGTGATTAATGTTTACAGAAAGTTACAAAAAGCTGAAGAACAGATAGAACTTTTAAGCGACGGATTAGATAGTGTGGAGAAGAATGTGGTAGAATTAAGAGAACAATTGAACGTTAACACCAAAGAAGCAGCGGAAATCGAATTAAACATCAATAAAGAGAAAAAGACAATAGATTCAGCGCAAAAGCTGGTGGAAAAGTTGGATGATGAATTTTCAAGATGGGGTTTACAAGTATGTATGATATTATACTAAAATTATTTTCATTATAATATTAAAAGTAATTGTCTTTTGTTTAATCAATTTATTTTTAGACAAAAATGATATATGTGTTGATTAATATTTAGAATACGAATAATTAATAACACACAGACTAATACTTACTTAAATACACAATAATATATTATAATTAAACTAATTATGATATGTGTTATTATATCATATTATTCCATTTGACAGCGTTGTAATATATATACTTTTTTATAGATCAAGAAAACTCTGGAATTTTATATCATTTTTAAACTTTAACGATATTAGAAACAAAAATATTACCTTGGTTTAATATTCTTATAGTTATTATTTAATTCATACTATATAAATCTATCTATTTATTTTATGAAATAAAATTTAAACGAACACTGGAAATTCAACATTATTTCATAGTTTTATTTTTAATTTTCTGTCTTGTTAGGTGAAATTTGCGAAAAAAATCGAAAACTAATATTTAGGATTTAATGGGGTTCTGTAAAAACATTAAATGAAGTACACTACTTGATTTATAGAAAAAGCATTATGAAACCATCGTATTATATGGCCTGAATCTGAAAATTGGCTTGTTTAAACTTTTATAACATTGTATTATATTTAAGAATATAAAAATTATTTGTAGTCCACTTTAATAAAAAATTATGAAAATATTAAAAATTATAATTCAAAAAATAATTTTATTTTTTCCCATAGGTAACTGAATTATCATTGACTTTAAAAAATTTATTACCGAGCACCCTATTAGCATCTGCGTTTGTGACATACTTATCAGGATGTTCAGATAGTTTGCGTAATGAAAAAATTGAAAAATGGAAATATGAGCTTAACTCAAATGAATTTTCTTTTTCTAAATTCATGGAATCCGAATGTCAGATTCTTCAATGGATTACTGAAGGCTTGCCATCAGATGAAACTTCACATCAAAATGCTATAATACTTAAACAGGTAACCAATAAGCGAAAAATTACTATGATATATATTGTAATTATTGTCATTGTTTTTTTTTTTTTCCTTTATAGATTAAAAATATTCGAATTTCGGTAAGCAATTTAAATTACGAATCTTATTGATTTATAAAATATATACGGACGAAATAATAAATTAGTAATAAGACAATAAACTTTAGGCTAAATTCTACCCATTGATCATTGACCCAAACAACAACATCATGGAATGGTTAAAACTAAAATTACCTGTAAATTCAATAGAAATCACGTCATTTGAAAATCCAAAATTGTATTCTAATTTAGAATTAGCCGTTCGGTAAGCGTTCGTACAACACCAATGATTATGACATTATAATATAGTTGATTAAGTATTCAAAGATAACAAGGTGTACATTATTTTTTAGTTTTGGTAAAACGATGATAATTTATAATGTAAGAGAAATTGGTCCTATACTAATACCTGTGTTAAAAAATGATTTTATAATCGAAGGTAAGTAATTTTAAGTTTTACAATTTAATGGAAATATTGTGAATTAACCATCGTAAGCCTAGGTAGTAGAAAAATGGTCCAAATAGCAGATAGACTAGTCGATTACAACGAAAACTTTCAATTATACCTATTTAGTAGTAATGCTGACTTAAATTTACCTTCAGACCAATCTGTTTTGTTGACTACAGTAAACTTTACTCTTAATCACATTGGACTCACTGAACAGGTAAGATTGTTTATTCTTGTTATTATTTTACATGAAATAGTCTAAAAAAAATATTTTAAATGGTATAAAAACCCGGTTTAGCTTCTACGACATGCACTTAAAGTACAAAATCCTAAATTGGATTCCATGCATTTGGAACTGTTACATAAAGAAGAAGAATTTAAGTCAAAGCTTCATGTATTACAAGAAAATGTACTAAAATATTTGGCAGACGCTCGAGGGAATATACTCGAAAATCAAGTAATATTATACGGTTTTCTTTTAATGAAAATATAATTCTTATAATGCAGTATATTGTATGAAAATATTTAGGAACTGCTCAATTCATTAGATGACATAAAAACTAATAGTTCAGAAATATCGAAATCGCTGAACGAGTCGTTAAAAGTACAAAGTCAACTAGAATCTGAATGTCAAGTGTACAAACCATTTTCTAGTTACGCATCAAACATATATTTTGCGTTAAAATATTTATTCAATGTCAATCGTTTTTGTCAAATTTCGCTAGCGACATTTGTCAAATTGTTTCAGTCTACATTAAAGGTACTAAAAAAGGAAAATATTTGATTTGACAACACAATTATGTTTTTTTAATTGAACACGATTTAGGAATCTACCGGCGGTATTAATCAAGAAAAGAAGTTATTACACACAATTTATTATTATGTTTCAAGATCACTTTTCAAAGACCAACGGTTAACATTCGCCACATACTTGTCTTATAAATTGAATCCTAATGAGTTTGGTCCTAATGTATGTATTTATTAATTAATTATTTGTACAATTTAAGGGAGTGATTATTTTAATTATTTTTTAACCAATTCATTTCAATAGGAATGGGAATTATTCATCGGAAAAAATACGTCAAACGTCGACGAAGGATTAAATTTTAAAGACAGTGTTCCAAAATGGATTGATGACGATAGAACGTATGATGTATATATGTTAAAAGTAAATATTATTTACGTGATTTACTTATTTAACAAATCTCGAGTGTATTACTTAAAGTTATCTACATAATAATGTACTAATTACTAATTTCTTATCATATAAAAAAAATATAGTAATATATTATAATATCTATAGTTGAAATATAAAATTATTATTTAATTTTAAATTTAAATTGTAAAAATAATTCCCATCAGGAGATGGTACCAGAACTTTATGAAAAACTCCAACTTGAAAATCAAAATATTTGGAAAGACTTTATAGGAGCCGCGAATCATGGTATTCCTAATTTTGTTAACGCTTCAAATTTCCAAAAAGTATTAATAACACAAGCATTGAAACCAGATAGATTGCATAAAATATTGACAGAATTTTCACTTAATCAACTAAGTGAGTAACGAGAGTTTATTCAGAATATCCTAAATGTATAATGGACATTGCGTGTGCATATTATAATTTTAGAATTGACTGATTTATCTCCATCGACGCTGAATCTTTCTAAACTAGTCGAAGAAAACTCAGAGCCAATGATGGTTATAACATCCATTGGATCTGACCCTTCTGATGAGCTAAGGATGTTGGCAAAAAAGGTGACCCACACAAATTGTACGGAAATAGCCATGGGCGAAGACCAAAAAGAACTCGAAACACTACGTGAATTGTGCAAACAGCCAAAATGGGTAGTTTTGAAAAACGTACATTTATGTTCGGCATCCCTCTTGATGACACTAGAAAAACTATTGAAGTCGTTAGGGAATGTACACGAAAATTTCGCGGTATGGATGACCACAGAACCCGATGACAAAATTCAAAACTCCTTCATCATGTCGTGCGTTAAAGTCGCATATGAAGCACCGCATGGAGTCAAGAAGAACATGAGACGAGCCTACGACATATGGAAAAACGAACGCATTAAGTGGAGTTCTTCGGATGAAACAAGATCCGTGTACGCTTTAGCGTGGTTCCATTCTATCATATTAGAACGTAGGACGTACATACCACAAGGATGGTCGCAATACTACGAGTTCAATGATTCAGATTTATCTGCTACGCTTAAAGTATTACAAAAATCAATGCATCGAGGTAAGCGTTGAAAAAATATAATATTCATCACATATTACACAATAAACAATGACAATATTACAGTATTAGAAAATAATAATAAAAAAAAATAATAGCTCAAATCGTATAAAAAAAATAAATATAAAAAAACTTAGGGGTTCATAAAATCGCGATTTGTGAATACTACTAAGTGCATTATACTCTTAAAAATAAGAAATACATGTATTTCTGATTTGTTATAATTATAGAAAATAGTTCGACAAGATGGGCACATATTCAAGGGCTATGCGAAAAGGCAATTTATGGTGGCAGGATCACAAATGTTCAAGACATGGCGATCCTTACGACATATTTGCGGTGCATATTCACATCGGACAACGTTAATTGGAAAGACGGTATACCTGGAATAATGAATCTGAATTCTGGAGACACAAAGGTACAGGCATAGAATAGGTAGAATTAGATAGAATTTAAAAATATTCATTTTCATTAAATTCGTCGTATGTAAGAACTGAAATACAAGCAGTGGTCAGGTTAAAATGAGCTCTAATAACCAAACACAAATATGATGAATTTTATTCTCCTAATAACAGGGTTATGTAACGGTGTATGTAATATCATTCGAATAATAAAGAAATAATTGTACAATTCTAATAGTTTCGGGTGAAAAACATGATTACTGTGAGTGTATTTTTATGCCCTTATAACAGGAATTTCTTAAGGATAATCAATCAGGGATAGAGTTAGAGAAAATATTTTTCTAAATATGGAGATTATTATTTTTACGACAATATGAAATTTAATACATGTAGCAATCATTTATAATTGTATTGTTTAAGATAATTTTTTTTTTTTTTTGCATGAAGGATATTGAGAATGCGTTGAGAAGTGTTCCGGAACAAGATACATCGAAAATATTAGACTTACCGGAAAACGTTGATAGGTCTTGGCAAAAGAAACAAAGTATTGAAATAATATCTCAACTAAGACGTAAGTGCTGAGGCCTACGGCCGGCTGTGTAAAAATTATACCACAAAGATAAATCTAATGGTTACGTCCAGGTATTAGCGCCGGAATCCAAGTCAAACAACTTAAAGGTGACTGGCACTTGGATATTCAGCCCATTTTGAATCTTTGGAAGGCATTGAACAAAGGCACGAACCTAATAGAATTGTCAACAGTCAAAAATGCTGCGGACAGTAATCAGCAACCGATAGATGTGTTCGTCGATCAAGAATTGAATTTCGCCATTCGATTGGTTAAAAATATTCACAAAAGTCTGGCCGCCATAAATCAAGCGATTCGCGGAAACACGAGGCCATCGCCAACCGCATCGGATACAGTGTTCCATCTTCTTCAACTTCAAGTAATCGCAGCCAACTATAGATAAATCTATTCGTAAAAATGTGTAATCAATTTATAAAAATAATGCTATTTTCAGACGCCCAAAAAGTGGATGGATTTATGGGACGGTCCGAACGATTCGACCACTTATGTCAGAAGCGTTGTTGCAAGAACAATATCAGTGAACAAAATGAAAGCTTCGGCCGATAAATTATCTGAAAAAATCGACCTCGACAAACTGTTTCATCCCAAAACGTTTTTGATCGCACTCAAACAACAAAGTGCAAAGTAATAAATTATTTAAATAATTTTTCGTCAAAGTTTATACTATTCGAATAAATTAATTTACTATTCAACAATAGATTAGTGACGCAATCTATTTTTCACTTTAAAACAATAGTGTTTAATACGACGGGTAATGTGTCCCCTTAACTCATACTTATTTAAACATAAATAAAGTATAAAAAAATTAGTTGATTAAATATTGATTTTTATTGAGGAATAAAATTAGGATGTTAAAAATGTATTAAAGAAATTAAAAATTAATTTTAATTATGAAAAATATTGAATAGAATAATTTACCGACTAAAACATTATAACTTAAAAATTATACTTATATTGAAAGTAGATAGTTAAATTACTTACCTATAACGTGGTTCATTGTTTTTTGATCAAAAGGTAACACTTAGCTTCCCCTTTATGTTTATTTATGCACAAATTAGTAAGACGACAATGCGAGTTCGAGAAGTTAATTTCGTTAAAACCTACCCATGACCGCAAAACGTGCATTTAATTATGTGAAAGTGCGTTCAGGCTTTTGAAATAAAATATAAATGGAATTGATGCTTATTTCCTCTATAAATAAAAATGTGAAATTAAATCATTGTCACGCATGTTATTTGAAACTTCTTATCCGGTTATCTCGATTTTTTTTATTATGAAAGAGTATATTACAGAGCAGATCATATATACTTATCTATGGAGCAGATTATATAGGTTTAATTTAAGTTTTATTTATTTAATTAATTAATTTATTTAAGTTAATTGAATTATTATTTATTTATAATTGTTTATTCTTCAATATTCCACGACGCAACGTGCGAAAAATAAAAACACATTTACCTGGGTTTTATATTAAAACAATCGATTTGATCATTGTTGAGTAGCAAAATAAAAAGCTAAAAAACAAGAGAAACTTGCTGCCAGTCTTGAGCCTGTGTTAAAATGGAAACGAAAACGACAATTATAATTTTCTTTTTTAATTGGTTATATTACCTAAACCTAACCTAACATAAAAATAAACATTCATTTCTCGGGCGAAGCCAATTAATTCGGCTAGTATAACGTAAATAAGAGTAACATCAAATAAAGCATGAAAATAAATAATTAACTGCGAAATGAATAACAGTTTACTCTGAAAAATAACCATCATTAGATAACACCACTTTAGTATCTTTACACTAATCATAAATATTACAACGATCTATGGTGGTACGGTTGTATGTGAATACATTAACGATTTATTTTATTTTGTAAATATTAGGCATGGCATAATAACACTGAATAACCTAAGCCCATTTAAATGTTACGAGTTAAAAACGCGTTTATTCATTCATATTAAAATCAACCAGTAATTACACATCAATCATTGTATACAATATTAACTAAATGTTATTTTTACTGTTTAAAACAGTAGCCATAAAAGTATTTATTTTTTTATTTTTACAACAAATAGATTAATACTAAAATCTAGAGAAGGCATTCAATAAATATTAAAAACTAGTTATACTGAAATGTTAAGTCTACTGATATATTGTAACCAGAGGATTTATAGTAAATTGTTACTTAAAAATAGGGCTGGGATATTGATGCAAATGCATCTTTTTTTCTAATATCCCAACACATTGCTCCGTAAGAAAATGGGTTACAAGTGATAATGATTAATTTAATATAGTTTTTACTTTGCATTTTTTTTTTTCATTTAATGATAAATTTAACTTTATATGCATTTTTCAGAATTTATCTATAAATTCTTAAATAATAGTATTTGATTATGTGTTTCGGCATTTGTTCACTCAAAACTTGCACATTTAGTATATAATATACTAAATTGATTAACTAATAAATATGATCATATCGACCCATGTAACTATTTTATCAAAAATAGAACAAAATTAATATAATCAAAAGAAATTTTTCTATTTACAAGAGTCCAACGACAATCATAACAGAAAGTTATAAAGAATTTTAGATTTAAATAAAGTTAAAATCTAAATTTTAAACAAATAAGTACCTTCTTTCTTATTATGATGTTAAATAAATATAATTAAATACGTTTGGAAACATGATTTTTATAAAAACATTTATACACTAGAATAAATACATTTTTTACACATTTTTATAGCATTTCTTATGATTTTTAAAGCAATTTTGCTATTTTTTAGAGCAATCCAACCCTAATTATAAATGTTATCTCCCTAATTTTCATCTAAGCATACCTAGAAAATGTATGGACCTATTTCAAACTTTAAATAAAAGTTCAAATTTAATATAGTTTTTTTAAATGTATATCTATGTTATGTAAACTATTTCATAACCAAAACATATAGGATTTATGTAAAGAATAAGTTCAAGAACCTCTAATTTTCGTAGATATTACAAAATGCCAATGGATAGCCTAACACTAGATTGTTCACTGTCAAGTAATGGATTAAAAGGTTCCAAAATAAGTTCAACAGTATCAAATTTAATTCTGGAAGGAGCTAGATTTCATCGCAACACACTCATTGAAAACACAATAGATTCACCTTCAGTAACAATAATAGAAGATATTAAAATTGCATGGATTCCAGAGGTTAGTAAATAAAATTTGATAGACAATATCATATAAGATACTCAAAACCTACAATTGTACAATAGTAATTAAAGAACAGAATATATTAATGATACTTCGATTTTACAGGAACACACGAAAAACTCAAAAAAATCTGATTTACTAATAGCATTATATGAAACACAATCGAGGGATCATTTAATATCATTGCTACCAATAGCAATCCCATTAAATGAACGAAAAAAATGGATTCTAGCTGGAGTAACACTATTTTTAAGAACACATTAACTATGAAATTAAAAATGAAAATTATTTAATTATATAGTAAAATATTTATGAATAAGCTTCAAATTATTCAACTTCACAATAAATTGGTACACAGTTAATTATATATGATAATTAAAAAATATATGTATATTATCATGACTTGTGTTAATACATAATTTATTTTGCATTAACACAAGTCATGATTTAAGGTAACAATTTTAATTTTTTATCTGCCAGTTGTTTTAGCACATTACATAACAATAAATAGATACTCACAAAATACTCAATAAAATAGTCACAACAATTTTTTTATTTTTCATTTACTCTAAATACAATATTGATAATAATTTTTTTATTTATATATATTTTCATAACTTATAACTTTACAGATATGCTAAAATTTTATGATTTTTTGTAAATTTGTATAATGCTTTACACGGTAAATAGTAAATTCAAAATAATCTCATTTTCAGACCAAAACGAATGAGATAAGTTACATAACATAAAACAAAATAAAATGATTTTTAATTTCATGAAGTTTGCTAAAAAAATTTACATTTAGTATGAATTCAAAGCATTAAAAAAGAAAAAAATAGAAGGAAAGAAATGATCTCACTTTTTTTTTTTTTTGATCATCTAAAACAATTTATTAATAGTAATGTAAAATTTAACTTAAAACGTTTACACAAATCATTCAACTGCACAACACTATCACAAACCAAAATGTTGACAATAAGAATAATTATAGTTTATATTATCAATCAAGTTGATCAGTTCACTTATTTTTTTTTTTCATACAATAAATATTATACAAATTAAAAATAAATAATGAATTTGTTATCATAGTTAAAATTTAATATTTTTAGTATGGTGGTAGACCATATGTATGATAAATACAGACTTATAGATAAATTATCAATTATCTTTTTTTTTTTTTTTTTAATATTAATAATATATAAGGTTACTGGTATAAAATACACAATAAAAACCTATTATAACTCAACAGAAAACGTAATATTCAAATATTCAAAACATGTATAATTATGTACAAATATAAAATAATTATTCAAGAATTATCAAGAAAAAAGTTTCTGCACTCTAATGTCCACAGACTTTATTATTTATTTATATTAATTAGTCATCTTAGATAAAAATAAAATTAAAATAAAAATGACTCAATACATATATTTTATTTAGTAGAATATTTTACATATAAAAATATGTATACCATGTGACATACATTAATTAAATTAAAATGTAATTCGTTAACAATTTTTTTTTTTAAATTTTTGTTGTTTTATTATAATTAAAAATCTAACTTAAATATTTAGTTTAATACAGTAAACTATACTTGCATTTTTCTTAAATCAAACAAAAAATATTTATCATGTTTTATTATAAGTTTCCATTAAATTATTTATATATAAAAAAATAAAAAAAAATACATATATAATATTAAGTCATTTCGGTGAGTAAATACAGAATATTGAAGAACAATACCCTAAAACATGACAACTAAAAAACGTTTTAAAGTTATTGTGGCTTTAGTGTTGTGCAGTTTGATCATGAACATAATATTATATATCTATTTTACACATTGAAATTGTTAATTAATAGAATATCACTGTTCCATGAAAAATAAAGAAAAAATTATGAAAAATGTAGGAACTGACTCATATTCAGGTCTTAAATATGTCAACTATAAAATAATAATAAAATCAAAATTGTATCATGCTAATACCCATTAATAATAAACGGAATTAGGATTTTTCGCATGTATATTTTTTTATTTTTTTTTCATTGTTGATGAATCATGTAGCATACCGTTTCGTCCATAACCTAGCGATTCTATCATGTTCGTCACGATTTTGTATATACTGAGTAGCAATACTACCGACTAGGGGATCCGCTGTAAATAAAGTAATAATCAAATTTTAATAATTTTCAATGAAACAATAAAATCAATAGTTTAATTAAAATTTCTAAGTCATAACTTAATTTCATTAATCCAAAAATGACGAAAAAGTAACAAATATTTTGAAAATTTTACTAACGCTATCTTTATTTCTAAATAGGTGTATTTTATAAAAATTAATTTTTCAGTATGATTATTTTGAACATTTTGTATAATATATTTTAATGATATATTATTTTTCAAAAATTTAACAAAAATATGTTAATAGTAACATAAAATAACAAATAAATATTTACCCGGATTACAATCAGTCAGTAGAGAACAAATTGATAAAAGCACCTTTGAGATGGTCAATGCAGGAGACCAATTATCTTTTAATATATCCAAACAAATTACTCCCTGTGAGTTAATATTGCAATGATAAATGCGAGTCCTAAATGTTACCTACAAATTGGAAGAAAAAATGCACATTTATCTTTTAATTACTCAATATACATATAATATAATAATAAATATATATATAATAAAAGGTTTGTAACATACTTTAGGAGGTTTGAATGGATATTCAGGAGTAAAATGAATGTCTAAGAAGAATACGCCTCCTTCATATACTGAACCTGGAGGACCTAAAATCGTGCTGACCCATTCATATACATTATCTCCTTTTGGTCCAGCACTAAAATTTTTTAATACATTTTTTTTTATAAATAAAATTCAATAATATTCTAAATAACTGCACAAACAATAATTATATAATAATTAATAATCTATAGAAAAAATCTAATTAGTAATTATTAAATTATACAAGGTTACATAAATAAAATGTTTAATATTTTCATCTAGTTGATGATAAATAAATAATAAATATAAAGGATATTCATGATCCATTTAACTTATATTTTTTTCACAAATTTTAAATTATTTTTATATAGTTTATTAATTATTAATTTTATTTTTGTTAAATTAATTAAAACATTTAAATTTTTCAAGTACTTAAATATTTACAACTAGTTAGATGACAAAAATAGTTTTAAAATATTATTTATTCTAAATACGAATACTGAAAAATAGTCAACACTAAAAAGAAAAATTATAAAAAATATTTGAATATTCATAAACTGTACCTGCAATTTGGTGGAGGATCCAATGTAATTTCGGCTAGTTCTTTTTGAATCCTAAAAAGAATTAATCCATAATTATTAACTAAAAATATATTCAATTAATTAATTTTTTTTTAATATTAATTTGGGTTTTGTGGATGCATCTATTTTAAAATAGAATATTATTTTTCAATTAAAAATATTAATAACTTAAGTAGCATAAACAACAACCATAAAGAAATTAAAACCCATATTACATCGGGAAACAAATGTTTTTATGCCCTTTTTGGATTAATGGGGTCAAAGTTACTGTCAAGGAAATCTAAAAAACGACTCTACAGAGTACTAGTAATAATAAGATTATAATAATAATAATAAGACCAGTGATAATGTACGCATGTGAGACATGGTTCACAATTCAGAATGATGAAAAAACACTTGCTATCATAGAAAGAAAATTCCTCAGAAGGATGGACCTAAAAGAAATGAAGACCAAACATATAAAATTAGGTCTAACTGGGAATTACAGGAACCAAATATAATAGCGGAATATGACACAAGACTGGCCTTGTACTAAATGCTAAATCAATAATAAATTATGTATTAAACTGGACCTTACAAGGAAGAAGACAATTGAACCAATTGTCCAATTGAAAAACCGAAGCAGAGATGGATTGACAAGAGTATGAAGGAACTAAGACAACTAGGGATAGACAATCATAATGAATTAGCTCTGAATAGTTAGATGTAGAGAAGTTTGTTTTACAGCCATGGACCTTAACAGTTAGCAGTTAAGCTAAAAAAAGAAAGAATTAAAATTGAAATCGAAACTAAAACAGTATTCCAATCAAGTTAAGTCTCTTAAAGATATAGATAACAAGTCAGAAGTTACTAAAATTCAGTTTTAATTCAACATAAATTCAAAAATATTATTTAGAAACATGATTTTAAACAATATTTAAAAAATAATAATATTAAATAATGTGCTAGTAACACATAAGCACTAATAGAAATTATGAGGTTATTAAAATTAATTTACACTACAGAAAATTTAATATTTTTATTATTATTAATTTATCAAATAAATATTAGTTATTTTAAATATTTAATAAACATATGATACTACATATTATAGAACAGAATAAATAATCATAATACAATTTAAACTCAGCTACATGAATAGCAAAAAAAAAAAAAATATTTAAAATATAATCATTTAAATACTATACAGATTAAATGGTTTAGTTATGGCAGACAAATTAAGCAGATAACAAAAATACAAAACTATTGTTATCAAAATTATATATAAATAAATATTAAAAGGATACCATACCTGAATGTGTTATACAAGTCTTAAAAAACGTACAACACAGCAAAACTGTATTCAGTAAAACCAATTTTGTGTCATTAACTTTAATATTAGAATAAACTGACCCATTATCAAACTTAAAGAAAAATTATGTCATCTGTTTTCAGACTATTATAAATTCAATCGAGTTACCAGCTTTTTAAATTATAATATTTTACTTAATAATTTGTTTAAAAAATTAAAATACTGTAAGAACCTATGTTAATGCACAGTCAATTTTATTACCTATAAATTAAATAATAAGCACATTTATTTTTTGTATTAAAGCTAATGATACGAAATTGGTTTTACTGAACAGATTTTCTGTTGCGAACCACTAGTAAGACAGAGATAACACAAGCAAGTAACATTATCGTAAACAATTTTTTGAAATCTGTTATTATATGATAAAACTACAAATAGTTTATATTAATAAATTAAGAAAAAATAAGTAATAAATTATTAGTTACTAATAAATATATATAAATTAGAGGTAAAATATCTAATAGTATTAATGGAGTTGTTTACAAAACTATGGTATTTATTTAAAATCATTAAAGTAATACACAAAACGTTATTAAAAAAATAATTATTAGAGCTACATATTTCTAGTGAAATATTAAAAATATTTTAAGCCCCGGGGCATAGTGTCAAATGAGGAATTCTAACAACCTACACAAGACTACAAATGTAAGATTTTCAGCACTAATTAAATTAACTAGTACGCTAATAGGGAACTACCATGGCTGTACAATAATCACTGATCACCACATCATTGTCAATACCCATGTTATGTTGAAACTTGTTGCTCAATCAAAAATTATGAATTTCACAAGGGTAGAAAATTATCAAATATAATACAGAGACATACGTACAAACCCAGATTTTGAAAATAACAAATGCTAACCTCTTGGTTGAAGTACTAAGAGCTTTGGACATCTTTGGATTAGGTTTCACTTCCTTGGCGGTTTCACCACCAATGGTGGGTGATGACGGAGGATTGGACTGCACAGGAGCAACCACAGGCAATGTTGCTGTCACACTTCGGCGGCCAGAATTGTTAGGACTCCGAGGAGTAGGGGTAGTGGACATTATCAGTAACAAAAAACGGCGACCTACGGACATGAGATGATGAAGCGTAAAACATAAAACAAATTAGAAACCGGTCGACGTGGTCCGAAAACAACACTTACGGCAATCAGCCTTCGATCTGGATGTACAACTGGGTTCAGTCTTAAGGCATTGGATATTCAGTAACAGCAGTCGGCGAGCTGATCAACAGACGGTCATCTGAGAACGATGTCGGAGCAGCCGCGGCAACTACGTAACGGTGACGGCGTGATACGACGAGACGGACGGAGCACGGAATCCGGAGAAACTGCGCGGGTGAGCGAGGGATTTTCGCACGCGTCGAGTACCCGGGGACGGTGTCTCGCGGACGGTGAGAGCGCGATGGTAGCAACGGCAGCGTGGGTCTCGGGCGATACCGGCTACGGGGTCGGTGTCCGCGAATCGTACGGGACGGCGGGTGGCACGCGAACGGACGACAACGGTGTGCAGCAAATCGGCGCGTCGAACGGCCGTGGGCGCACCGCGGCGAGAAAATGCACGGCAACGGTGACACGACTCGGGCGAACAAAGGAAAACACCGAAATAACAATCATGCGTCGAGTTTTCGAAAACGATAGTGGTTCCAAAAGTGGTCTCCGTGTACCGGCGAGTTTGCGGCTGGCCGGTCCGTGTGCGTATGTGCGTGTGTGCGTGTGTTGTTCTCCGCGTTATCATGTACGCGCATGCGCACCGAGAACGTCAACAATTCGGTTCGAAAACAATAATAATATTATAACAATAATTGCAACAGAGGTTACGCGATCAAAATTTATTGTCTAATTGCTGTTTTGTTGTCGTCGTTCAAACGGTTTCGACACGAGCCCGCCCGTATATCGGAACGTGTAGTCGCGTGTATTCAGTGTTACGAACGATAAAACGGACGCGGTCTTGTTCGCACAAGTAACGCTCGCCTGTATAGCGTGACACGCGCGACAACGATATTAGGTATAACCACACCACTGACTGATCGGCACGACGACGACCAGTGGCCCGCGATCGCTCTGTTGCGAATGTATAGTATTAAACATGACGTATTTATCGTCAACAAATGTGTGTTTCTTTTCTTTCCTCCGTTTCTCGGAACCCATCCCTTGTCCGCAGGCACGTTGCCAACGTTTTTTTTTTTCGTCCCCTCGACCGCTTTACCTGTGTACGGAACCACCCCAGAGACACACGTTTAGTGTGCTCCCACCCCCGACACAACCGCCACAAACATGACGTTATTACGAATATTGCACCGTCATCTCGTCTGTTTGGCGTACTCCAACATTTTCTTTATCTACGCGGGCCCTATTATTATTCAATGAGGTGCTGAAGCGAAACCCCAATGCATATTTTAACTTATGTACGGGGCGACAATGATGTTATGACAAAAATTAAGATATTTGTAATTATATTATAATTTTATCTAGTAGTCATTTATTACGCTTGATTTTGATATTTATTTATCATTTTATTTGAAGATTTAAAGTTGAAACATTAATTATCAGAATATCTACAATGGAAAGCCGATAAAAACCATACGATATTGTATTATATACACCATTTTGAGTTTCTAAGATTTGAAAAACTCTGGTTTTTTAACACGGCATTTTTTTTTTTTTTTTTTTATAGATTTTTTATCGTTTGTTGATGTTAATTTTATCAATTTTGATTAAATGCGTGGACATTTTATTTTTCGTTTTTAGAGAAAATTCCTTAAAATGTTCACTGCGAAACCTTATAAACTTCTGTTGATCATTAACTTCATGACATGATACTCTCTCTCTCACCCAAAAGAAAATGATAAATTGACAATAAAGTACTGGGTTCTGGCCATTCGAAGTCAGGTTCGAATATCATTAAATTTCGTTACAAACTATCATTCTTATGTTAGCTACCGTATTTATATTGGTATAGAATGTCTAAGCCCCAAATTGCCGTCACGAAGGAATCTAATACGAAGCTTTGGATAACCACTGCATTCGTGATGAATAGAATAAATTATTTCACGCTTAGTATTATACTATGCAATTCTATTGATTTTTGAAAATTAATCTCGCCAAGGGTGTGTCTCGATTAATCACAACTCGGTATATGGATGTCATGCGATAGGAAAACGGCAGGAATAACGAAAAAATACTTTGAGTAATAAAAATGTATTGCCTACAAGTAATTTAATTTCCATTGATATACACAGTGCCAGAAAGGTGCGAAGGTTACTATCCCGTATCATCGGTCCTCATAAACTGTATTTGTTTAGAGTGTAATTGTTTTTGTAATTGTTTTATATTCCTTGAGTAAGTCTTACAACCTTAGATACAAAAGTAAAAACATCACCCAATAGCGATCGTACAGTTTTTTTTTTTTGAGTTTGCGATAACACGCATAAAAGCCACTTTTATATTTTGTTCTAGAAATCTAGACCATAAATCCACAAGTGTTACTATAAAAAATATAATAATTAAATAGGCTATTAATATATACATATATATATTATAAAAACAAACGAGAGAACATTTTATGTACGCTCTAAAACATTGATTATTAATCAATAATTAAATTAGGAAAATTACATCAACAACTAGAACGATAGCTTATAAGAAACTTATAGGTAGTTGCCTTAAATGCTCCTCTAGATACTTGTCTGCAAAGATAGCCTTGTGTTCTAAGAAAAATTGTACCGGGCACGTTACAACCGGACGTTGCACTGGCACACGTATTTTATAATCGCATGTACATAAGGTAATAAGAGGAGAAACTTTCCACTGGTGACAATCCCCATTCACATCGTTTTTTACTTATAGTATAGTGTTTTATAGTTTCTTTTCCATTTTTCATATCACATAGTACTTGCAGAATAATAAAATCTTAATTAAACCAAGTCAGCATTTTAAATATTGTATCAAAATAATTTGATAAATCATGATGAATACCAAGAGCACCAAATTGAAGGTTCCAGTTTGGTCATGACCCGACAATATTTTTAGGATGGTAAGTAGTATCATGATGGATTAGTAAACGAGTAACAAGTGAATTAATTTAATGAACTATAAATTATAATACTATCCGTTTAATAATTACTATTCAAGATATTTAAGTACCTTAACACTAAAATATAAAAAAAAAATTTTTGGAAGAGGTTAACTTACAACCCTTTAATTTACATCCTTGTATGGGGTGAGTTATAAATTGTTAATTGGGTGGCTATTAACCAGACCATTGACAATTTTGTTCACCACCACTGACCAAATGCTTTAGGTTGTCATCGATATTAATAAGAAACTGTAATGATTTAAAAATTAAAGTATTTATATGTTAATTTATGAGTGAAGTACTTTATGTTTTTTTAAATCATTACTTATTGTACTATAAATATTTAATATTACCTCTCCGATGATTGTGTCGACCTGCCTGTTGAAAACCGTAGTTGACGTTTGAGGAATGAGATAAAATAACCAATTCGTACTTTAAAATGACAATAACTTTCTTTTTTAACTCACTTATATTAATTTTATTTAAATTACTTATACACACATTAATACACGTATTTTAAACTTTTACAGAACATTTTACAATTAATTATATCTTTCTGCATAGACGATCTCCGTAGTCTTTTACACTCGCCTTTGACCGTCTATACAAAAGGACAACAAGAACGCGTCTGGCCTGTGTTAGAAAATTTTGCTCCTTATATTTAATGTCACCTATGTGTGTGCGCGTGTATGTGTTTACGTGTGTGTGTGTCATATATTATCTTTGGTACTTATGACTTATTCTTATATTTAATGTGTACTGATTATTACAATTATTTAATTGTACATTCAATTTTTTTAAAAATATATGAATGCTTAGGCGCATATCATTACAAAAAATTAATTCTTCCTGTTTCATAAACACATAATCATGCACTTAACTCATAAAATATTTAAATGCTTTTGATATATAAAAATATTTAGAGACAAAAGTGTTTACGTTTTATTTTCACATTATTTTGCAAACGTGTTGATTCTAAAATTAATGTAGATATACATCTTTTTTAAATGAATACATGACGTGGCAATGATAATACGATAATTGTAATTCATTATGTTATGGTAATAAGTTATAATGGTATAATTCAATCGAATATGTCGTAATTTTTATTTCTACATATATTATTCAGTTGTCGCGACTAATTTCGTATCAGCTGGGTATCTACTATAATCTAACTAGGCACACTATTAAAATGTATGTGGATTATATATCCTATAATTTCTGAATAATATTAATTTCTTCTTACAACCGCGAGACGAAAACGCAAGATCGACCGTTGTGCATCAGGTCAACGATTATAATTAGCTTTTAAAATAATTGCATACAAACATATGCCGCAATACATTTTAGTTCAACGACCAACAACGTATTATATTTCGGTACGAACACAACAAACGGTTTGCAGGACATTCGGCCGCCTCAGCTGGTATTTACCGAGATACAAGCCACATATTATTAGTACATAGGTGTATCACCACCGTGGCCCAGCAAACTGTGTTTCAAGGTCTCGCTGGAGTCAAGGTCGTCTTGGCAGAGATTTACATCTTCTACTCGCCACGCACGCTAAACCGCAGTAGTTGTGCTCACGACATCCTTAACGCTTGTAATACACTCGACCGTCTCTCGTGTGCAATAGTATACTACATATTATGTTATGCGTTTATATAATATAGGCGCACGATGAAGAACACGAAAAAAGTTTCGTTTAAAATAAAAAACTGTAACTTTTTTCGTACGGTTTATTATGGAAATTACTAGCTTTGTAAAGGTTATTCCTATCATTAGAAAAGTTAATAAATAACCTTAAGCCATCGGTTATGTATAGTCGGTTCCAGGGGTGGCTTTTTTTTCTTGACACACATTTAATATTCTTATACTACCTACCCTAAAAAAAATGCCACTGCTCACCAAAAGGTAAATCCATAGGTTTTTAGTGGATAAGTAATGGGTATTTTATTTGTATATACAGTAAATATATAAGCCTGTATCACCCCTAAACCAATTATACTTATATTATATGACAAATCAACCCATCCATTAATATTTCTGTGTATCACGTGGTTAAAATGTACCTCCTTCGAGCCGCCACTGGTCGGTTCTATCGCATGTACGTCATATTGGGTGAATCATTTTAACACGCAAATTGTGCGGCATAATGATATTATGTTCTACAATCAACGGTAGTTGTATTACGTGAGATTCAAAAGTTCCTAGGGATAGTGGTATTATCTAGATTTACTCTAGAGTTAGGCATGGGTTTTATCACTAAACAAGGGAGGGGCTAATGGAGGTTTAAGAATTTAGTTAGTTGGTTTTTTAAATCTGTATAATATTTTAAATTACAGAATATGTTTTTGAGTCCCTCATAAGTAAGTCATTTTTTTCACAATAATGAGTTTAAATAGTTACATTATTGGTATCGATTTTAATCTGAAACCATTTTAAAATATAGGTAAATACACATAATTAACAACAAAAGTGAGCTATTTATTTATAAAAAAAAAATATATAAAATAGATACCATATTCATCAATGACCATTGACTATATTTTATTATAATTATTAATATATAATAATACTTTGCTTTGTAAAGTAGATAGCTTAGTCCCAAGGGGAGGGGGAGACTAATGCCCCCTTAGCCACCCCCTTAAACACGCCCGTGTCTAGAGCATACTGTAACCGAGGCACTTGTTACGGTGACAAAGTAATATATGTATTATATGATGGGCATTATAACGGACACTTATAGCAAGAAACATGACGTGAATATGATATATAGTGGCATAAGTAAGGGGTAGTAAGGGGGATTCAACCTCCCTCCTTACCAAAATCCCAAAAATCCCAGCTAGTAAATAAATAGATAATAATAAAAATAATTATTACTTAAATATATCAAACCTTACTTACGCCCTTGATTATATATATATTTATTTATAAATACCCTGTATAAATATCTTGATGTTATTATTTTTTGACGAAGAACGATTGAGCTAACCTAACCTTTTCAGCAACATGAATAAGCATAGAATATTTTATGCGACTACC